GTCTTCAAGACCGGGTGGAGCAATTCGCTTACTACTGGGTCTGCGCATCATTGAGCAGCATGGGGGGATTCTGTCCACCGGGTTGTGAGGGCATTGATTTGATAGGTACAGTACCCGCAATAGGTTCTTGGGCTCTATCCGCCCAAGTTGCATGTGGAAAGTGCAAATAGAGAACGCATTAAATGCATAAACTATCCCATGGCTTATCTTAATACTCAACCCACTAGAAACCTCTCTTAAGTTTATGGGTTATGCGGCCTGCCATGAGAACTGCGCCGGCTGGGACACTCTTGTAATAACCCTCGAGGCTAAAGTGGGGAGTTTCGCTCCTCGAAGATGCTGGAGGCTTATGACTTTTGAGTCTCTAGTTTAGGTCGCCGACATCACCTTTATTGCACCAGACAATTCTGTTCGTGTTCGAGTTCGAGCATCATGACTAAAGAGACCAGAAACGAATCCGCAGAAGCCAAGAGCTGAGATGCTTTGATGCGAGACAAGGTACTGTACATTCCTGGTAATAGCATTGTACTTGTATGATCTTGGCGACAAAACGAAACGTACCCCCCCCTCGGTTTTCCATATCACACAAAACACCAATCTTCAATACGCGCCTACCTAGCAACAACAAATTAAAAGATCCCGTAAAATCCTCTTTTGACAGGGAGTTTAACCCAAAGATCTACATACCTAGGTCAACATAGCCAAATGCAAGACTACAGGAATTGTTCCACGAAACCCAGGGGCTGGATCCGGAAGGGAATGTCAAAATCCATGCCAAGACACCCAATTTGTATAGTATGGGATTTGCGTGGCAACAAAGTACGCTAACTTCATGCCCCTATGTCAGTGCCTAGGACTGTCAATAGAAATGGAAAAAAATCATAATGCTAAATTCCTTAGGACACCCCTCCTATTATCACAGTTTGGAGGACGGTATTTGGTGTAGTCGTTCCCGGTGGCTAATTGAAAATCGGGAATTTCGTAGGGAAAACTCGTGGGGGGGGCATGTGCCTTTTGCCGCCATGATCGTACAAGTACTGTACACCGCCATGCAATGCCGGTAATGCCCACGTGGTGCATGAGAAAGTCTGGTTGCGCCTCGCGGGTGAAGTTGGATGAAGTTGGAAGTGTGCTTTAAACTCGTACTCGAATAGAGCGAAGGTGGCGAGACCATACTTGTGGAAACATCCCGTTTAAAAAATCCGATACCCACAAGTAGCTCAACCTATGCCTAAAAACAGTGGGAGATTAATGGCTATCAAGTTGGTATCAAGTAAAGTACCAATAGGGTACTCGAGGGTTGCCCCCGCGCGAGTACTTGTAGATATGCTAGCCAATTTGACCACTAGTCTGCGGCAGTTTCTACCACTTTTTAATGCCTAATCCTTGTACTATAAAAGTGTCCGGGTGCTCGAGAAATATAGTGTGATATTTGCTGCCCTGATTACATAAGGCCCTGAATCTTGAAACATCATTGGTGCACACTATATTCGAGTACTAGTACAATAGCTTGACCTATTTTTGCTCCTATCCTACGGGACGCCATCACTTGAGGCTCTCACACAACCTGCGGTCAACAGAGGAAAGGGAGAATTAGGAAAGCGTGGCAAGGGATTCTAAAGTTCTGATTGGAACGTTTGGCTGCCCGACCCAATCGGTTTCCGTGTTTCCAACCCCTGTTTTCCGATTTATTTTCTACTGTCGCCTGTGCCAAATACCAACCAGAAGCCCACGGTCTCCCGGCCCACGCCCCTGGGAACCAAAATCATGGATGGATTCAGGGAGTATTTTTTTTCTCTCCTTTGTTTCTCTTTGTAAAATCATCGGTTGATTGCCCGTGTAATTGGTGCAGCATTTCTATGACCCTAAAATTAAGAAAAACTCCCTCATTGGTACTTAGTGACCATTTAACCTGAAACTGGACTATCATATCCCGACCAAGTCCCATCGCAACCAGAACCATAACACGATCGGCATAACAGTTAGTAATCCAACTGTTCCTAAACGACCTCCCAAGTTGCCGGGACAGGGCACTCCGGTCTTCTTTCGGGTTCTCGGGTACCATCACTTACTCACCTGTTGGTCTCTCGAGGGGGGTACTTGTAAATGGTTTCGCATAACTTACCCGCACACTAGCAACACGGAGATGCTCTTTCCACCGCAGCAGGAGATGGGGGCCATCTTGCTGCCTTTGGTGGCGGGGCGAAAAAAATTATGATATTCGCAAGAGCCCCTTGGGACCATGCGCTCAGATCATAACAGTCTCACCTGTACTCGAGTATATCCAAGCATAATTCGGCGAGAGCCGACTCCAACTCCTGTTATGATACGGCACCGTGCGAGTACAAGTGACAGGGGGTATGTGGGGGGACATTTACTCGTATCAAATTGATTTGCCTTTTTACACCAAACATTGCTGGGGCGGGTGGGGATGGCCACAAACTGAGGTGTCGGGCCGCCGTTCGATGGCTTGCTTTGTGACAGAAACCCACACTCTTCGGCGCCGTGGGCGGGTTTCCTCCGTTAGTCGCCGCTGCTCGAGTACCGTACCGGCACCACCAAAACTCTCGGAATCCACCACCTCTGTCAGAACCCCCAAGAGGGATCAGCGCTTTACGGATTTAGTAACGGATCAACCCACTGGATGTGTTGGATCCCGTTAACCAGTTTTCGCAATTCCGTCGACCCCTTAAGCTAAACCTATCGCGGGATGACGGCCTGACTGCTATTATGGATTCTAGGAGTTTTTGCGGTGTGATAGCCAACTTAGTGGGCACTAATCGCTTTCTTTAGCCAAAGGAAGAAAAAAATGCCCCTTAAAAAACTCGAATTCCGTCACACTCTTGGGAGCTCCCGATTTTGCTAGTGTCGACCTTTCAGTTGTGCATTACATAAGAGTCCAACCGTGGGATTTCGAGGGAGAAGTGCACCGTGCGCTTGGACAAGAACTTCGATTTGATAGAGAAAATCCTGCAGAACATCATCATGTTTTGTCCAAAGGGGTAATCCCGAGCACGGTGCTGAAAGAAAAGGGTAGGGAGTCGTCGTCGCAGGTTCGCACAAGAGAATGAACAAAGAAAAGAGGGAAGAAAAATCAATTATCGTCACAAATGTGTTCATGTTCGTCCTCCTCCTTCTCAAGGAGGGTCTCGCTGCCTTCCTCTTACTGAGGCACCTGGGAGAAAGCAGGGTTATCGGAGCGGCCCTCAGCTACACAACGATGGCCAGGATTCAACACACTTCGTAGATAATAGCTTCGATCGTCTTTGAAAATTACTTATCTGGCCTTTGGGGTTTCTTGTCAGATACCGTAGGTCCACCTACAGCTGCGGGAATCGGGATTTCCCACAACAGCGCCCCCTTAACTGCGATTTTTTGGTGTGGAAACCAGAGGTTTTTTGAGCCACAATTTCGCTTAAAGCAAGCACGGTAGTAGAGCGGAAAAAGATAACTTACATATATTCCCAAAACACGGAGAGATGCGGAGAAGCAATACTGTACAGTAGGACCCCAATGCCAAACTCCTGGCTGATATCGGTGTCCGAGAATCCCCTATCTTAGTACGATACAATTGGAATTCTCTTCATTCGTGTTGGAGCTGGGTGGAAGTGTGGATTCTTCTTTGACCCTTGCCCTCTCCTCTCCTTCTCCCACGCCCCACTTCGGCACTTGTCGTGCTTGAGTGCAAGTACAGTACCGGGGAGATGTTTTCGTATCATACAGTACGAGTACAATGCAAGCTAGTTATCCATCCCCGTCTTTCACTCGAGTAACCGTACTAGTACTGTACGAGCACCGAGGCATCTCCCAGGGCACTTCTAACTCACCAGTGTTTTTGGAAGCTACTATTTGAGTGATTTGGTAAGGCGAAATTCGCTATTGGTCCCTAGTGTCTGCTTACATCATAGAAAGAGAAACATTACAATCAGCGCATTCAATCGGCAAATACCGTATCCATAGTAAAACAAATACCAGTAAAAAATAGGCGAATCAAAATTTTATGTAATCGAGAGGGAATCTCTTTTACCAAGACTTAGCGCCATACTTGTCACCCTTTATCATCATGTCCCTGCATTGGCAGGTACCGATATCATTTTAGTGTGTGCATTGGCGGGAGTGGAAACTTTAGCCTCACCCTGATCCAACCTGTTTACTCCCCCTCGGGAGAAGCCGGCCCTGGCCGGGAAAGTCCTCGCTTTGTAAGAGTACCGGTAGTACGGTACCGTGCTCGAGCACAGTGCTTGTTATGATAGTACGTGTAGAAACGCTCGGTCGAGAGGGGGGTGCTTATCTTTGGAATGCTGTATAACAGCATCATAGCTGATTCTTGGGGCGGGCACTCGAGTATGGCGGTGCGACCGCCATAGAGATGGTTGGATCATGCCCCTGTTAAACTCTCTAACAGTTACATGCTGGTTACTAGTTCGAAATTCCCAAGATCGATTCCGTTTCTTTTTCTTTTTCTTCCCCGGGTCCATCCCACGTTAAACCTGTCTGTCTAGAGTACTCGTACTGTACCATTCACGCCGGCAATTGCAGCTGGGGTGGGTGGCGCTTCTGTGGCCTACTCGAATAATCCACATGTACTCGAGTACAGTACTCGGGCGGGGATCCAGCGCTCGTGCAGAACGTACTTGTACTGTACCGTTATCAGAGCTTGGGTCTTCCCCAAAATATTTCCAACTGCTCCACGAGAATCCCGGGAAGCCGTTTCTGCCGTGCTATCCAGAAAAAGCGTGCGACGGGAGGTAAGTCACGATTACTTGTACCATTGTTACAAGTACGAGTACTTGCACAAACCACGTGTGGGTAGGCTGGTTGGGGGGAAAGGGGGGTGGGACGAAGGGACCCCATTTCCTCCGCGTTGCACGGAAAGACGGCCACAAGGCTTCTGCCTTTAGCCTTAAGCCAGAGTTACAATAGTTTGATTAGAGCGCGCACTTTCGCACTTCAAACCCTCTCTATTCGAGTACGCTATATCTATCTACCGCGCTTGTATTGTATGCACAGTAACTTAACCCACGGAATCATTACCATGTCAACAACGTACAATTCCACCATGAACATGTACCGCCGTAGCGGCGAACAGGTTCCCACTGCGACACCGTACCCATGGCCACACGATGCAAGCATGTCACCAGAAACAACAGCACTGATAATAATCGACATGCAAAACGACTGTGCGTTCATCTCCAAAACCCCCCCCCTCTCATAACGGTATCAAGACTTACGCGACAAAAAAAATAAAGTCTGTTCGCCAAACGGCTACCTCAGCCATCAAGGCTACTCCCTTACCCCGACCCGAGCGTCGATCCCAGCGATCCGTACCCTCCTGACACTCTTCCGCAAGCACTCCTTCCCCATAATTTTTACCCGAGAGGGCCACAGGCCGGACCTCTCCACCCTCTCCTCCCGGGAACTCCACCGCTCCCGGAATAACCCTTCAGGCCTCGGCATCGGCGATCAGGGGCCCCTCGGCCGCCTCCTCATTCGGGGGGAACCCGGTCACGACATAATCCCAGAACTGGCCCCACTCCCCAACGAACCCGTGGTGGACAAACCGGGCCGCAGCGCCTTCGCTTACACGGACTTTGAGCTGCTCTTGAGGGTCAAGGGGATCAAGAATTTGGTCATTACAGGGGTAACCACAGACGTTTGTGTTAGCTGCACCATGCGGGAGGGGAATGATAGGGGGTTTGATTGTCTGCTTGTTCGGGATGCGTGCGGGGCGAGCTTGCAGAGGTTACATGATGCTGCGGTAGAGATGGTTGGGACTGAAGGGGGGATCTTCGGCGCTAGTGCTGGCACCCAAGAGGTGGTTCGCGCCGTTGAGGCTTGGGCTGCGAGGAATGTGAGGGGGTTGGGCAAGGAGGAGGATGGAGAAAGCACGGGCAGCAGCGGGGATAGGAGTGATGAGTGAAAGGTGATGGGTTTTAGGCGAGGGTTAGTTGGGGAACCAGAGGAATAACTTGGGCATCGGTTTTTCATACTTGGTTGGTGATTTATGTGCTGGTGTAAATTGTACCATGGCTTTTTTGTGAATATCTTTGGCAATGAATTGGATTGGATTTTTTCTTGAGATCAGGATTCGCTCCGCTGCTACATGAAATATACTATTCGCTATTAAAAAAATTTCCCTCGTGGTTACCGGGGAGAGAGAGGAGATATAATAAGTGTCAATCGTTGTACATCCAAAAAATATATAAAAAAAAATAGCAACTTAATTCGACCGCACTTGAGTGACTACAAAGTTTATTGAAGCTCTGAGTTGCCAATGCTCCCTGAATCGGCTAGCTGCTTAGCCGCCTCTTTGTAGTACTTGGGCCCTTCGTAATTCCCAGTTCCGTGAACGAACCACCAGAAAGTGATGAGAACAACAAATCCAGATACAATCACACTAGTATAATTCATATTCCCGGCCTCAACGGGCATAGCAAACGGGAAGCAGAAGAACACGACTGTTACAGCAATATATAGCAGCGAGATGATGTTTATAGCAAACCCGGCCCTTCCGAGATGGAAAGGACCAGGAACAATGGTTTTGCGGCCGGTGAGCACGTGTGGGAGGATAGCGCCGGCATAGGAGAGCGTCGATAGAACGATATAAGATCCGATGAGCGCTGAAAATGCGGTGGTGGAACCGACCTGGATAGCCCCTAGACAAGTAGTGACGACCGAGACAGCAATGGTAGCTCTGAGCGGCGAACCGAACGTCGGGGAAATCCTGGTGAAGTAGTCGCCAAATGGTGCGGCATTATCACGAGAGAGCGTCCAGAAAGTTCGCCCGCCGGTGATCAGCGTGCCGATCAGGGTTGGGAATGTAGCCAGGAACAGCACTGCGGTTAGCCCGAGAGCCCCCGGGGTGCTACCAGTGGCCTGTCTGTAGATCTCCGACGTTGGAAATTGCGATTGGGAATCGAAAACGAGTTCGATATCATTGATGGAGTAAAAGAGTGCGATAAGATAAGCGAAAGCAGTGATGAAGCTGGTTCCGATCTGGATCATTATCCCCTTTGGAACGTTCTTCTCCGGCTCCGGGATTTCCTCGGCGACATGGGACTGGCAGTCCGGCGTGCCAACCGCGAAAGCGGCGTTGATGAGACCGAGAATGAAGCAGAGACCGTCATTATTCCACCCGGAAAGGTCAGTGTATTCTCTCCAAACGAATTTATCGCTAGCGCGCCTGCCCCGCGACATGATGGCCAGGACCATGATCGTAGTGAAGAGTCCACCCATGCTGAGGTAGAATGCAATCTTGTTGATCAGCGGCAGGTGACGGTTTGCGAAAATGACAATGCAGCAGCACATCCAGTTGACGATCTGGTATGCGATGAAGACCTGCCACGATTTCCACTCAACCTCTGGATAGCTGAGTTGGTAGAGAGCTACCAGTTCGGTTCCTAGAGTGCTAGAGATAGAGGCTGCCGATAGCAGCCATCCACAGAGATTGAGGAATCCGGCGTACCATCCGACAACTCGGCCGTATCTGGGGCCCGCAGTGACGGATGCCCAATGATACACTCCTCCGGAAGAAGGAATTGAAGAAACCAATTCCGCGAGAGAGGCTGAGATCAAAGTGTAGAAGATTGTCACGAGGATCCTGGTCCCTGATTAGCTATATTGCAACTCCAAAAGGATACTCCAGCCGGGTGCGGGGAACCAGAGGGAAGAAAAAACTCACAATCCATAGAGAACGGCCATAGGGCCTCCATTGCCGATAGCTACCACGATAGTCCCGCCAGTAAGACTCCAGGCGCTATTTACACCGCCGATGCCTCCATCAGTAACCAATTCCTCTTCAATCTCTCCCCATCATACTACAAAAAAGGGCGCCGTTTAGGGATAGGAAAAACACTCACTTTGCGATAATGATCCCCAAACTGGTCAGGCTGAATAGGCCAAATCCTCTACTCAACACTTGTTTATGACCCAAGGCTGCCTCCAATTTAAGAGCATCTTTATCTTCAACGCTCAGTTCCATATCTTTCGACATAAGCGCCAATTCCTTCGCATCTGGTGCCATTGTCGCCACAGTCGCTTTTCCGGTCGCCGTATGAAAATCGACTCTCCTCTCCTCGGGCCTGCGATTCAAAGCAAAAAAAGGGGGGGAACGAATAAGGAAATGTGCAAATGTGCAAGTAAAGTAGAGTCGAAAAACAGGGGATATTAAATTCAAATGGGGGGCTTTAAACAGAGAGCAAGACCACTTCTAGTGTCGTTTCCAAAACTCTTGGATATTCCCTTCGTTCTATGTCTTCGCTCAGTATTGTACTCGCGCAGTGGAGATGTGAAGCCTGGTGTAGTACTCGTAGGTAGGTAAGGATTCTCTTCAGGCGGGCTGAATTAAGCCAAAAGTGATGGCGCGATGTTCCTTTTTTTTCTTCTATTCCCTCCTCATCTTACCTTATCCACTTGGTTTCGTATTGCATAATATGGCACATACGATAGGATAGGCCTGGGGGGTCCCTTTTTCTTCTTTGCTACCGCCCATCCCCCGTCGCCCTTTTGCAGGTTTACAGAACGGGGGCTTTTTTTCCTACACCATTGCCCAGCTATCCCGCTCGGGCCACAGGGAACATGTGTGGGTCATCGAGGGAAGAGGGAAGGGAAGGGGCATATAAGTATGGACTGGGCGGACAAATCCGATTTGAAGAATTGAATACTCGAGTACCGGTAGTCCGAACAGACTCGGCTGGGGAGTGACATAACTGCGCCACAGATATTCGAGAAGCAGGGAGAAAGTTTACTCGTACAAGTACAGTACCCCCAACTCTTAGCTAGGCGATAAGTTTACGATATGTGCGCTATTTTGTTTTTTGATGCAGCGATGCTGGGATGGTGCTGGCACTTTAGAATCGACCCCCAGTGCCAGCAGAGCCCGTGCGCTCGTCCTAATATAGCAGGCGATGTCGCCTCTTTAGGCAATACATTGGCATATCACTCAACCAAACCTTTTTTTTCTTCTTCCCTTACAAGTGCCGCCCCTAAGTCCATCCAAATTTTGCCCCAACATTAAGTGCTATTAAAGCAAGAATTACCATGAAATCCGCTCTATAAATGCGTTCTTTACACGACTTGGGGATCATTGCACAGGAGGAATAAGCAAAACAACAGCATGTGGGTGTTGCTGCTGTTCGTGCAAGGGTTGGGAAAGTTTGGTTATCATGGAGATTGATTCTGAGCTGCCGGCACCTACCAGCATGTATCATACAAGGATGCGTACTTGTAACATTCTGAAGGTTGGCTGCGTATCGCGGCTTGAGAGGAGTGGATCTGTTGGATGGAAATGGATTCCTTGCTTAGCAGCCTTTCGGATTTTTCCCTCTGTTTGGAACCAGAACAAGTACGAGTACTGTATTGTGTATGATTCTCACTGCGGTTGCCGCAATTGAAGTTGCGGCAACAAAATTTTTCCTTCTTTTTAGTGCTCACAAGTACAAGTACAGTACTGGGTCGAGCAAGTGATTGATGAACAGTTAATTTAGGTTAGCCCACAAAATAGTCCCTGGGCGAGAGCATCTCCGTGGCACTTGCACCCACAATCAGGATGGTGAGCGCTTATTTTAGGTTAGCCTGCAGAGCAATCCCTGTCCAGCACTTTAGTTCGAAATCAACTCCCCGGTACTCGAGTGGTTGTACTATACTACTACCATGGTAGCTTAAAAACGAGTTCTAGGTTTGACTGCCCCCCAAGGTTGACATCCTAGATACTCGTACAAGTATTTTCTACCGACTTTTCTCTTACTTCCACACAAATCCAAGCCCGGGACCAAGTCAGGGGTTCCACCCACTGGCACCCAGCACTGTGAACGCTAAAAAAGAAAAAGGAAAACTCGAAAATTTGCGACCCAAGAATAATAATCGTATTGAGAATGAGAGTGGTAATCACAGTGCTAAAGGAGAAGTGTGCAACAGGACTCCAATTGCGCATTGCGCGGAAAGATGGGATCGGGGCGCTTCCTAGCTCCCCACAGTAGCCCCCCCCCACGGCAGCCCAACAACCCACGGTACCAGTGCTCGAGTATGTGCGAGTATCTTCTACGGTGAGGCCTCAAGAAGCCCCAGGGGAGATATTTCTGACACCACCTCCTCGGCCAGAAATATGGTTCACTGTATTATAGGTATCATAGACATGGTTCACCGCAGGCAGAGAGATCGGTTCTCGCCTGAAGTTGGGCCTCCCACAAGATTCTGGACGTTCGGAAATGGGGGGGGGGTCCGAATCCCAGGATCAGATACAAGTAACTGCAGCGAGCAGAAATGGCAGGGACGAACCTAGGATGTGGTGCGGTGTGCAATGCGGGAAGGATAGGATACGCTCTTCCAAAGCTGTCCACCCCCCCCGCCCTCCTTTTCAGTACCTGTGGGTTCTCATAAAACAAGATGTAACTGTAGATACTGTACGTAATTTGACAACGCCCCTCATTAATCACATCTAGTTCTATGACGGATTTTCTTTCCGGGAACAATCCCATACCGGTATGAGACCTGAGGCGAGAACAGGAGGAAAAAAAACACAGGACAAGAAGGGGTAAATGCAGGATGGTTCGTCTAGTATCCCGTATTCGGACAATTACTCACCGCGTCGAGCCGCTGTCCCAGAAGCTAGACGAACAGACAAGAAGCGGGATAGATAAAAGATCTTTTTTTTCCTTCTTTCTTTCTTTCTTTCTTCAGCCATTTTTGTAGCGATCCGAGTCTTAGCTCGGCGGTGGATTGACCGATTGGCTAAGTCTTATCTAGTTGCGCATTGTAGGTATCGAGTGATAATCATGGCGGAAAGTGTGGAATAGGAAGTACTGTACGAGTACAGTACAGTACAATGAAGCAGGAAGGAAGGAAGGAAAGGAATAGGAACGGAGATTGCAACATTATTGGTGTGGTTTCGCCTCATCATCGTGATTGATAGTCAATCCACCTTCCCGGTACCGAGGGTGTACAGCACAGCATCACCGCGATAGCTCTTCTTTCTGGGGCCGTGATTTCTTCCCAATTCTGACAACACAATGGAGTGCATATCGGTACTTGCACCTTGATGTGAGTTTTTTGGTAGCGTATCATAGGAGAACACGGCAGTTGGCTTGGTTGCTGTGGGTACCATATGCTACAATACATCCAGAATTGTGCCTTTTATACAACTCCTCATTCGCCAGAGGTGAAACCGCCTTGGGGGAAAAAAAAGGAATTCTTATCGCATTCCAAGCTCTGTTCCCCCCCAGGAGCCCTTCTCCGAGTGGTGGTTGTTGCGTGACCATCACTGAGACTTATCTCGGCATGGCATCTCGCTCAGTCCGGTGCAGTACGGTAGAGTACTCGAGCACAGTACAGTACGCATAGGGCGAGTGAGCCGAGATCGCCGGCCGGGCAACTATTCGACTAACTATGATATGGTGCCCAACTGGCCAAGCAATTTCAACACATATTCTATCGCTGATCGCTTGGCCAGCTGTTAGACATTGAATGTTAGACATTGTATCATAGAGAACCAGAAATAGACATAGCACAACAGGTGGTTGCTGTTGCTAGAGCTTCTAGCAGTCACTGACAGTTGCCTCCCCATGCAAACCAAACTAATAGTTAGCCATGGGAGCAGCACCAACAACAGGATAAGGGCCCCCAACTCAGGGGATCTACTGGTACCGGTACTCGAGCACCGGTATGACACCAGTGGTCTTCCCAGTATGGTACTGTACCCTGAACTGGTCACGTGCAAAATCGTGCGACACCTCCGATTCGTGAAAGAACCAATCGGGTATCAAGCATGATAATCACTATAACCTACCCAGGGAACTCAAACACTTTAGGTCTAGCTTTTCTATATTTTCCCTACCATATGGTTTTGAATTTTTACCTTCCCAATTACACTGTCAATGTGGTAAATTCCTACCTAGCTCAAAGGGGGATGACGGCTCCCCAGGGATGCCGAAGTGGAGTATCCAATGGAGATGCCTTTTTTCTCCTCTTCCTTTCTCCTAAACCCATGCCTCCACATCGACATACACACGTCCCGCCCGTATCGTCCCTTTTTTCGATCCACCCTCCCACTCCCACCTGCGGGAAGGGGGAAGGGGCGCAGAGGAAGGATGGAATGGGGGTGGGGGTGAGGGATGATGGATGTATGTATACCGCATGGTGTGTGGGGAGGAGGTGGGTAGTGCAATATTTTGAAGTAGAACCCAGGACCTCGCTGCTGCCTCAGGTTTCGGAGGATTTCCGTGTATTTTTTTCCTTCTCAGCCTTCTCATATCTGCCGTCCCCGCTCACAGAGAGTAGCTACTTATATCTATATATCCACGCTACCTGCCCCCCCCCCTCCCCAACCCTAAAGACAAGTGCGAATTGGGTCGAGGCAAGGCAGAGAACCACGATAGAGAGATAAACGAAGAAGAGTAGGAAGGAGAGACGTAATGGCTTTGACTTCACCGACACCAGAGCAGCTGACTGTAGAGTCATGGAGTATGTACAGTGTTGGGGTATTGTTGATCACTGGGAGAATGTGAGCCTTGTTTATTTCACTCCACTTGTTTCCCTTTGCTTCTTTTGAGAGTCTGATAGATGGAGCTTAAAAGCGCTAACTTTTTGAAAAACCGGAAAAACAGATACTCACGCTGTCTTATTCTCAATGGCTTCCGTAATCTCCAAACAGAAGACTTCCTCATGATCTTCAATGCTGTCAGTTTCTGTCTCGGTTACCAAAGCTACACCCCCAACTAACCTGTACTAGGTAATGTACACAATCCTCATGGCCGCAATCAACGTCTCCGGTCGTACCGCTACAAACCTGTTGGAGCCAGGAACCTTAGAAACCCTTACCCCCGATGACATTCAAATTCGGATATACGGCAGCAAGATTGTGATACTGCTGGAGCAGGCCATGTTGATATTAATATGGGGTATCAAGGGATGCATGATACTGATGTACAACCGTCTAACGTATGTGCCTTTGATTCTGTGGTGAATAACGAGAGAAAGAAGCTAAATAGATACTGACGTGGAATGGTTTTAGCACCCGTCTGCAACAGCAGATGTTAGTGAGAGCTGTTGGAGTTTATGTCGCCGCTGGATTCGTTGCGATTGAGTTGGCTTGGTTTTTGAGCTGTCGGCCGTTCAACGGATATTGGGCGTTGCCGGTTCCTATGGGTATGAAGGCTCTTTTAGGGGTTTATGTGCTACATGAGGCCTGACGGAGGTGCTGTTGTTGTCATAGAGCAATGCGCGACCTATCAGCACTATTCGATCGTTCAGGCGAGCTTCAATATCTCATCGGATTTGATGATGTTAGGCATCGCTATACCGTTGTTTCTTAGGGCCAGGGTGCCCAATAAGAAGTAAGTCACCAATTATCACTCTACTCTCCCACAACAACCTTCGATATCAGATAAGCTAATCCCCACTATCTAAATAATATAGAAAATTAATTCTAGTAGGCATTTTCGGCTGCGGTATCTTTGTCGTAAGTTTCTCCAACCCCCCTGTAAAAATGAAGACTAAAACAAAATGCCTAGATCCTCGCCGCAATCCTAAACAAATATTACAACTTCTCCAACCCTTTCACAACTATATACATGCTGTGGTACATCCGCGAAGCCTCTACAGCAGTCTACGTCTCTAACCTGCCGATGCTATGGCCCCTCTTCCGACGAGCCTTCAACATCGGCACATTCCAGGAACGCTCGACTCCAAAAAACAACTCCCAACCGCTATCGGACATGTCCAGGAAGAAGGGCACGCTGACATCTTTGGCCGGCAGCGAGGACCGGATCACACGCGAGCCGGCGCTCGAGATCGATCAGAGGATCTCGTTCACAGTCGAGGAGTATAGGGGTGAAGGGAAGGGCGGGGATGTGGATCTTGAGATGGCGTGTAAAGTGAGTCAGGAGAGTATTCGCCCACACAGCGGGTATGGGAGGGGAGTTTGTGTGCACAATTATAAGGCGGAAGTTTCGGCCGGTACTCCATGATTTTGGAAAGCTTGTTTGTTTATTTTTTTCTCATTGGGTTGGCTTTTTGGGATATATTTTTTACCTTGCTAGAAATGGCTGGATTGTGTGGACACTTGGGAGGTTTATACGATTGTATGGTTTGGTACGCTTGATGACGGTCTTACGGGACCAAAACATATTGTATCTATTACTCACCTGCCCCGGCTGGAGCAAAAGGGGGAGGGGGAATGGGGGAGTAAATTTTTGATTCACATGAGTTGAACGTTCAGTTCTCTGTATAATAGTGTATACATTTCGAACCATACCCGCGGGGCGCGGTAAATAACTAAGAAAAAAAAAAACTCCTAACCAAGACGAGCGGACGGAAATAGTCGGAGATATTCTCTAGCGTTACCAAAAAGTCCTCAGTTATTCCCGTCAGCGTTTCCTCCAAAGACCCGGAGGGAAACACAACCACTCACTCGCCGCCCCCTCCCCCGCCACCACCAACATTTACATCGGAACATCCCGCCGAATAGCCGCGCAGATCTGGGGCCAACTCGCCTGTCTCACTCTTATCTCGACATCAAAAAATCAGATATCTCATCTTCTCTCCCCCTTTACCCTCCCGAAAAAAAGGGTTCCTAAAATAATCTATCCCTTAACATAGAGTTTGCGAGAATAATCCCAAAATCAGATCCATCTTCTGTCTCACCACTTTTTCCAATTCGCGCACTCAGCGAGACATTCATTCATTCTCCACCCCCTAAACAAAATTCTTCACGACAGTGGCCGCGCGCGTTATCGAAATAAACGGAAGGGGTATTTTTTTTAGCCCCTTGATCTACATCCAGCTGCCTTTTTTTCCTCCTCTATTTCCTCCCTTTTCTTTTTCCCTTTACCTACTGTACGAGTACTGCGGGAGAAGCCATAAACAAACCCACGGTACCAATGCACGGAATACCAAGCCCGAGCGGGACGGGTCAAGACGTCTTATTCAGACTGTCCATTTCTCTGCCTCTCACACTCCCTTCCTTCCTTTCAGCAAACCGCTACTACCATCCCGTCATCACGAAGAGGAATAAACGAGAGGCAAGGAAAGAGAGGGAAGAGAGAAAGAGGGAAAAAAAACAAGGGAAAAAAAACAACATGCCATGCCACCCCCCGCCTCAGAAACAATCGTTTTATCCTTTCTCTGCGGAAGCATTGCCTTATCATTACTACTGGCGGTAATAGTCTCTTTAGTAAGAGCCTACCGGCGAACCTTATCACCTCCACCACCAATGCCAGCACCGGCAACCAGGGCATCGATGTCCGCACCGGCAGTGCCAGACGCAATCCCCGAGGAGCAGGATGAAGACGAAGAGGAAGCAAACAGATTACTTTGGTGGAGGATATTTCGCAAGAAACGGAGGAGGGCACGTGAGAGGAATGTTGAGGAGGCATTGGGTTCGAGAAGGAGGGGGGGTTTTTCATTAGGAAGGAGGTCTAGGATTGGTATGCTCTTCCCCCAACCAGTGCTTGCTTCGCCATTGGGATTGGATCGGAGCCAAGCTAATAGCGGGAGCAGCGAGACCTCCACCGGCGGTCATGGCCTCGGCATTATAATCACAAAACGACGCGACGGAGTTACGAAGTTCACGAGTACACAAATCCGCTTTTCTTTTCTTCACTTTACTGGGACCGATAAACGGTTACTGGAGGCGTAATTCTGATACCATTGTTTTTAAGGAGAGAAGGGAAAAACCTGGGACTTATTATTTAATTTCGTTTATTGTTCCCGGGGGGGGGGGCTAGAGAAGAAAAGAAAAGGGATTGACAGGAACCGAAAGAGCACGTACGGGCATGGCTTAGTACTGTACGGTACCTGCGTCGCGTTCCTGGTGGTTATGGTTGTACCGTGGCGTGCATAAGACACGACTCGGGGGTGTGTGCGACGGGAGGGTCACCAAGGTTAACTAGGGAAAGAAAAAAACTGCTGCTGGTCGACGAGCAGTATACTGTAATTATTGGGTTAAATGTAATGGAAGTGGGTCGATTTTTAATTATTTTTTATCTAGATCTGGGTTTGGGGGATCGTAATGGGAGATATGGGTGTGTTTTTAATGGGAGATGTGGATGTATTTTTAATGGGAGGGATGTGGATGTGTTTTTGGCCAAGAGATGGGGTTTAAAGGAAAGAAGGAAGGAAGAATAGAAGAAAGAAAAGAAGGGCTGAGAAAACCATTGGGTTCTGGAAGCCGGGTTCCAAGGTATGGTATCTTAAAAGGGGGTGGAGCGGGGGTATGATAATTGGTAGTGCTATGGTGAGCTTCTCGAGGATTTCCCAAAGGCTGCGAAAAACCAGCCATTACTATAAAAAGGTCGCGAGTCCTTGTTTCTTTCATTCTTTTCTTCTTTCAGAGGCACTCTGTTTAATTAGCACTACGACGAAGCATGTCCACTGCCCGCGCTGAATAAAAAATAAAAAATAGTGGAGCAAGGCTGTGTGTGCTATGACAGGATCTGGTTTAGACAAAGGGGGCTGCAGATGTTTCCTTTTTTCATATGCTTAGTCATATTGAAAATTTTCCTTTTCGGAAGAGGCGTCCCTTTCCCCACAAAATTTTATTACTTGTAGCATCAAGACTTTTTAAGAAACTGATTTTCTTTTTAAATCCTCATGGCTCAATCGGTCAAGACTTCAATTCTTGAATAACCTCCATGGAATTATTTCCCTGGGCAAGAATGTTTCCAAAATCCTCTATGGTCGTCTGTTACTGTGCTAGTACTCGAGTACCGGTACCCACTGCCGGTAGTTCATCCATAGTCTCCACATAAAAGTAGCAAAAGCATAACTAGTCTCCACCCCCAAAATGGAAAGGATCGCGGTAGAGAAAGCTTTTTTGTTTTAATACCTACTGCTCAGAAACCCGATCCCTGCCCCGAGTACCGTACCGTACTCTACTCACTCGTAAAGTGCGATCTTGGCAACAAAAGAAACGTGCCCCCTCAGGTTTTCATTTTCAAGTGGCTACTAGAAACAAATATAACAAACTCTTAATAGTATGAGCCCATGGGGAGTTTAGCGTTACGAATTTCTCAGTTTTCATCGACACTCCTAAACGCTGACATGGGGGGGGGGAAGCAAGGGGTTGGCCTACTGTGATACTCTAGTGGTTTTGTTGCTATCATGTTCAAAATCCCATATGATAATTATGATACAAATTGGCTGCCTTGGCATATATTTCCTTCCTTCCCTTCAGAGCTCAGGCTTTTGGATGAAACTTTCGTATAGAACAATTCTATAAAGTTAGTATGGGATTTAGCTACCGTATGTGAACCCCTCAGCTGTTATAAAATCTCTGTCAAGAGAAAGAATTACTGGAACTTTTTCCCATCCAAATAGGTTAGGCGTGTATCTAAAATCGGTGCTCTTTTTGCGTGGAAAATCGTGTGGGGCACGTTTGCCACCAACTTCATCATACATTGCACATTCCATGGCAAGAAAGCGTCTAAATCTCCAGAGACTTTCGTTCCGGCGTTCCGGCGAACTATGTTGCGTAATCGGGTTCTGGAAAGAGAAGAAGTAGTTTTGGGCCCCTTTTAACGCGACCTTCAGGAAATTTACTGTATTACCGTACTCCGTCCCATGGGTTATTGATGCGTGGTGGGCGGGGGTAAATCCCACGCGATATCTGGGTCTGGATTGGAGGATGTGGGGGTGGGGTTTGTGGTGTCTTGTCGGCCTGAGTGGACTCCTTATTGCTGGTAGACAACTGTACGAGTACTACTACCTGATGAAACTGTCTGTTGATGAACAGGGAACCCATGAACTCGTGGTGCTCACAAAGCCTTCGACTGGTTACGCTGGGTTAGGTGTCCAAGGGTTCTAACTCACGTGCAGACTATAGCAGAAGGGTAATTGGTGCACAGTATGGATATGCGGGTACTAGCGCCTGCGCCCACAACCAAATTGTACTTATGCCACTCAAAATCTGTTGGTTGCGGTCAAAATTTGGTTGGTGTTACCTACATTAGGGGCGTTGCATCCGGCCAAAGAAACTTTTCTAGGATGTATGAGAAGGTTTCCAGGTCAGGCGTAACTGCTTTGTGACCTATAGAATAGGAATTTGGACGAGGGCGGTAGTGTTGATACCGGTACCTCAAAAGAGAACCGCCTGTGGAATTTGCGCCTAGCTAGGGGGAAACAATGTAGCCGAAATAATAATAGTAACTACATCTCAGCGGTAGCAACTTCCCCTCCCGCTCTGCTCCCCCAAACACCAATCCGCGTCCGTTCCGCTATAACCACCCCCCACCCTGTAGCACCAGGAACTTCATCCATCCACTCACCCAGAACCCTCTCTATAGCATTCAAAGTTTCCCATTTCTTGACCGATATTTTGAAAGCTGAGCTCTCAGGGTCACCGCCACCGGCAGCGTATCTTGAGTTAGGAGTTATCAAGTATGTCATCACCCCGGGAGACTCCAGAACTTCACGTAGCCCCCAAACGCCGTTCTGACTTAGCTTTTTAATAAGATCTAGACTTGCTAGTGCTTCGTTGCGGAGGGCAGGTGTCGAAGCGTATCTCAACAAGGTTTTCCAGAGCTCAGGATGGGAATCAGAATATGCGAAGTAGATCTCTCTAGTAGCGAATAGGCTCGAAAGCGTGCTAATATGTGCGGCCTGGGGTGGAGATAGGGGTATCTTAGAAATAACAGAGGAAGGATAGGAGGCAATCAGGAGGCTGGGTGGAAGAGATGTGAGAATTCTTAACGATGGGGAGTGTGGGTGTTGCACAGACTCCTCTATACGAAATTGGATTCTCTCGAGGAGAGCCTGGGTTAGTGGTCTGGGCTCGGCACGTGGTGGTGTATCCGACGTGCGCCTTCTTTTTGGCTGCCTAATGTCAGGGATTTCTGGCGTAGGTTCGGCGAGAAGCTCCTTCGGATGTAGCGAGGCGAACGTAGCTATGTATTCGGCCGCCTTGGACTCGAGGAAACCTTGAATGAGAAAATCATCTGAGTACGCCTCTGGTGCCAAGTATCTTCCGATAGTTGACTTGTGGAGCCCGGATTTACGGAGGTAATCCAGAGGCCTCTCAGCAGATTCTGAGGCGGAACCAGCAGAGCTCAATAGCGCGGCATAAAAATCTAACAAGAGCATATGCATCATAACATCGTCATCCACCCGAACCGCGTGCCTGGCAGCAAAGTCTAGTAGCCCCTGACACGGATCCTCTGCACTAATGCTGAATTTCCCCTCGATCTCGGGAAATCGAGAAACTACGATAGCATCAAAATCCAGCTCGGCCAGTTTCGCGACAAATTCCAATAATCTTCCCTGCCCTTCTGTTTTCGCACGCTTCCCCCCGGGGAGGGCATCCCCATCCCAGGAACACAATTTAAAGAATAGTTCATAAACCCCTCTATCTTCCAATATCCTGCGCCAAACCAGGCCGGTTCCATTGGCTTTGGGCGAATCAACCTTGAGCAAGCTTAGCAGAAGATCCAGCGATTTAGAGGATATTCCCGGATCCTCAGAAGCTAACATAAGCTCAAGAAGCCTCTTGATGACATCCGTCCATGAGGCGATAATCCCAGCGTCTGAGACTGCATGTGTCGCCTTTTGGAGTAGTGAAATCCCCAGATGTTGAATTGGTGGTACCGGTGTAGACAGTGTTTGTAGCGTGATTTCCGGCGTCGCTAGTGGGAGGATCTCGGTGAAGGATGCTGTCGACAATAAACTCCGTAGCAGCGTCGTCAGGGGCGAGGGATCCTCGCGGAGAACAAACAACGTAGATGAAATAAGTGGAACCAACGAAGGAATAAGGGGTTTTAACTGGCCTTCTATTAAATCAAGTTGTTAGCCAGCCAGCCCGAGTAGTGCTGCAATATATCGACAAACCCGTAAGCTGTGCAGTGAAGGTCTCTACGAGACCTGTGTCGAGTGGCGTGTCAGAGGGATTCGAGAGGATGGCGTTGAGGTGATCGGTCAATGGTTGGAGAGCGTTTGGAAGATTGGTTGTGGATGACATCTTGTTCCGAGTGGCTGGGGATGGAGATGCGGAATGAGTCTTGGAGCCGAAGCTTATAAAGGACAACTTCTGGGTGGGGTTAGGGTTTTATTTTAACCCCCACCCCCACCTGATGAGGCTCCGCTCGTAGATTTAGAACCTTAGCCGAATTTTTTCCCGAGTGAGTGAGTATGAGGATAAGGAACGCTTGAGCCACTAAACTTCAATTTCACTAATGATTAACAGACATACGAGGCATGTAGAACTGATAGAAAGTGAAGCCATTTGAATCTGGAAAATGGGTTCGCTAGAGTCCAGCACACTTGATTTGATCACAGTGCTTGGACTCACGCAGCATGATCGGAAACTAGTAATGTATCATAGTAGTAGCGGGACCTGTCCGAGATAGTGGTGGGGCTTCTCCCTCTTCATGGTTGTACTCTAACGGTGGGTACTGATATCGTTCTCTCATTGGAACTCCATAGTTGGGAATTGTATTCTTGTTCTGAGTAGATTCCCTCAAGCAGTTGGTGGCGTAGAAGGTTCATGGGGGTCAGTGGACAGCCAGTCTCACCGATTATAATAATATTATGGTACTGTTATGCGTTTGAATCTATGGTGTGAAGCAACTCTGGTTTAGTCTTTATGGTCAAAGTCGTGCAGCAGGGTAGGGCTGGCTCCACTGTCATGTAACGCCCTATTGATTGTACGAATTACAAACCGTTTGGGTACAGCTTCCTCTTATTATCGGTGTGGGTCTGTGCGAATTCTTCTACAGATTAATTGTGTTGGTAGGATTGTGTGCCCAAGCCCTTTTTGTCTTCAGTCTCTTAGCTCCACTCTTGCATCTCTAGAGGAAGTTTGTATATTGCTAATCACTGATGGAGTGGAAATGGCCTATATAGCATCACAACCATTCAAATTGTACAGTAAAATTCAGTCTCATAAACCCCAACAACAATAGAAATCAAATTTCCAAGAGATTCAAATCATTTTTGGAGCTCGGTGGCAGCTGACGTCATCATCCATGTACTCTCTGGGTTTAGCAAACAGTACAATAAGGTTCTCTCCTATTTCTAGTTAAACTATCCATAATGTCTTATAAGAGCGAGGAGCCACCTCACTTTCTTTCCATCAAGAGATGATCGGGCGTATACGCTACTCCACAACTACTATCTTCTTTTGATAGGTTCCTTACAATCACCGATAAGACCGTTTTATCTGCTATCATGGCCAAGCAGGTTAGCTCGACTTATTATTCTAGTTTTCCGCGTTGCAAAATACTTTTATTACCAAGTCTCTGTGGGCACTTCTGTCTTGGACGTGATTGACTGACCGAATCAATCCAAGGAAATCCCCGAATTCCTGAGCCCCAACGAATCTTCTGGAGAGGAGGACACAGCTATGCTTGACCCTGCTACTAGGGAACTGACAGGGGTGACTGGTAATCTCGTCTAGCCATTCGAGTCTAGGTGCTAACAGAACTATCATACAGTCTGACTCAGATGCTGAAGGAGTTGTCGAGGTAACTACCGGGTTTCACCCTTCTGTACTTGGTGGGGAATATAACTTAAATATCCGTCGAGCAGAAGATTTCAGCTTCTACAAAGGCAATTAGCAAAGCAATTCAGGGTACGAAAAAGCCCTAAGCTGATGCTCTGGTTTCAATAGAGGAAAAACAGGAAAAATCAAGTGGCGACGTTGGGTCCGGGGGGGAAGTAACTGACATCCCAATAGATGACGCGGAGTCAGAAGATGAAGGCTCGTCCTCAGACCACGAAGAGGAAGAAGAACGGGCAGAAACTTTCAAGGAGCCCTCCAACAAGCTTGATAACACCGAAGTTGTTGAGACTACCGAAGTTGAGAACACCAAACGAAAGAGAGGAGGGGGGAGGATGAAGATAGTAGCAGGTCCACGGATGATGGATCTGGTGAGGGTGATGCTCGAGCAGCACTGCTGGATGAGGGGGTACGCCCAAATTTCTGTATGCTTTGGCCATGATCACCCTTCAATGTTTGACTGACTTTTCATGCATTATAGGAATCGCCAAGTCCCGGTCCTTCTCTAAAGAAGAGAAAGTCAACAACTGGGAAATCCATTCCAGGCGTAACTCCACCGCCAACCCCCGAAGAAATCCAGAGCAAAAAAAGATGCTAAGGGGTGTGAAAGAAGAGGTGAAGTAACCGATGTCGAAGATACTGGCACAAATGACGGAGGTGGGGCTTCCATGGGGAGGCCTCAACCAAAGCCAAAACGTGGAGGAAAGAAAAAGGGAGCCCACACGACTCTTGTGAAGGTATTTTGCTCCACCATCTTTCCTTTTTCCCCTTCATTCTCGGATAACGTAAGCTCTGGGTGCTCTAACCTTATCCTTATCAGGCGTCATTGCCATCCCCGGCGAAGCCCAGAGGACGCCCTAAAAAGTCAACTAAAAAGGACCTTAAGGTGCAAAACGACGGAGATGAGTCCCCCCAAGGGCAGGGCAAATCAGCAGAAGGAGGGGGTATAACTGCAGGTGAGATTGGGGTAATTTTTGAGATATTGACCGCTGGCGCAGATTGGGCTGCCATTGTTGCGGAGACGAACGCTCTTATAGGGCTCAAGAGACTCGGACAAAACGTTTCAAAGCATTGGAAAACCATTGCCAAAAAGAGGCTGCTGGATGCATACGGTGCTTGAGTGTTCTGGAAGTGGACGTATGGAAGAGTGTATTATTGGGTGGGTTAGTGGATATCTTTTGCCCAACTGCTAGCACAAGTTATATATATAAGGTTATTCTAAATAACTTTTTCTACAATAAGATGCTTACATTATGTTATTAAATAAAGGTTGAATGTTATGGATAGTAGTGATTTCCGAAGTATTGTACTATTCAGGATTCGATACTAACTTGGGGGTGTTTGGCTTCGTGATTTGGTTTCTGAATGGCGATTTGAGATCACGTTTTGGCAGCTATAACTTACATTATCACTATACCATTACCAATGAGGCCGATAGATATATATATACGTCACGCAAAGCATGATAAGGGAAATTTGCTGAGTCCCTGTTCGGCATATACCGATATAAATATATTGCGATATTTCCTGAAAACGGCATTTATTTATTTATTCTAAAATGGAAAAATGCTATTTTCCTAGAAATATTTGCGTTTGGCAGTGCCATATTTTTACATCATATTTTTCCCCACATAGATGTTTATCATGTTAACAAGGGCAATAATAACAAATAAATAGGGCTTGGGTCAAGATAACACATCATATAAGTTCATCTAATGGTGTAATATCATATTATGATACCATATCATACGAAAAACCTTTCTTTTGTTAGCTATATACCTAAAATGACTTTTTTAAAAAATATTGCAATTTAAAAATATCATAATATTACTTGTATCATAGCATGTCTAACAAGGCCATGTTTATATATATATTTATCACAGAAAATGCCATAAAAGTGGAAATATAGCGATATTTGTATCGTAGCATCCCGAACAGGGCCTGAACCTTCCCGCCGCAGTGGGCCTAGATAAAGCACGTGACGGGTACATCTATGTATGATAATATTATCATATGATATCACACTTGGATTTATAGGTATCATAATAATATTATTATCATAATAATCTAAGTTAAAGTTGCCGGGACACGATCTCGAGTGGCGGCTTTCAAAAAAATCAAATTATGGCAGCTAAACACTCCCTAAAAGCCACTTACGGCTCTCTGCGCAAATACAGATCAAGTTTACAAACCCAATATCGAGCATTTCACAGCGCTTTCTGAGATCCCCATATCGCATAGTCGGCAGTGCTTCAATCAGATTCATGCGTATCAATCTCCAACCGTGAAACCGTGAAACCGTGATAGCAGAGCTCACACCAGATGTGGCATCAATACCCAAACCCACTCTAAACCCGGCGAACCTCCTCAAAAATACAACCATTTTGGATACATGGTATTTGCGTGGTATCCAAAGAAACGGAAACTGGTGAAAGGGAAAAAAACTTACAGTTTATTAGGACCAACCTCCTGTCTAGTTCCCTCTGTCCGTGCCGGAGTATGCTCCTCTGGCTTTGCGTCTATAATTTCTGGCTCTCCCTCCCCCTCTTTGGCTACAAGGGAGCTCCCACCTGCAGTCTCCGGAGCGTTCTCTGCCTGTTGTTCCGCTTCTTCCATCCCATCCATCAGATTCTTCTTCCCGTCGAGAACCTCCTGGATCTTTAACCTATTATCGTCCTTCTCTGTTTGAGTGAGGACGTCTTCCGGAAGCTCCAGAGGGATTGGGGTCATTGCACTGAAGAACTGCTCTGGGTCGTATTTCCTTTTCAGCGCGTCAAGTTTATTGAGTCTTCCCATGTCGTACCTATAAAGAGCGCCGAGGGGCTCATCTCCACGAGCGTAGTTTGGCAAGACGTGGGGTACATTGTTGCCGGTGTTGTGCTGCAGGAGTTCTCTAATCTTATATCTGAATTCTGTTGCTATGGCGTCGTTGATTTCCCCGTCGTAGCTGAGGAGGAGAGTTCTGTTATCCTTTTGTTGGACGAACCTTCCAAGCTCTTGAGAGAGGGCGGGGTAGAGTAGAGTAGGAACATACGCATGATGCCTCTGGTCCCTGTGTGCATACGCATCAACCATAGCAGTGTCATCCCTCTTCATCCTTGTGGACTCAAACTTCACAATAGAAGAATAATACACGTGGTGGCTCCTAACAAAGCTCGAAAACTCATCATACACTAGTGCTATGACACCTGGGTCGAGAGTCTTCATGCTAACGGAGAACTGGTTCTTTCGGTACTCGTACCCCCAACCTTCGGGGTTGCACTCGAGCAGGGGGATCAAGCTCCCCGTTTCGGTGTTCAGTCTCGAGTACCTTGTTGGGAATTCCGTCATTTTTGTTCTGGGTATGTGGCCATAGACCCTTTCGAATGCCTCTTTTGCCGGACCTGGCTTTCCGTGGTAGATAAAGACGAAGAGGATGTTGGGCTTTCCCCCCCCCGACATTTGTTAGTGGTGGGATTGATTATATTGGGAGGGAGAAGGGGGGGGTTACATCGTTCTGGGGGCCGCGTCTGTCGGGTAGGAAGTAGACTGTAGAACTGGACCCGGGGAACACATCTGGTTCATTCACCGCCTTGAAGAGCTGCTCCAGACTATCTGGAGAGTAATTGGCCTCAATGGTAAAGTGAAAAAGCGTGGTCTTGAGGTATACACGGTAAGTGGCCTCCGTTATAAGACCAAAGTTGTTTCCCGCACCTTTGATCCCCCAGAAGAGATCTGGGTTCTCGGTCGCGTTGACAAAGATCTTTTCACCCTTTGCCGTGATCATGTCCACCGAGAGCAGGTTATCACTCATGAGCCCGTATTCCCCGTCGAATACACCATGATCGCCGCCGAGTGTTGCTCCGATTACACCCACGCAGTCACCTGTGGGGAATGCTATGATAGCAAGTTAGCCCATATACGAGCAAACGGGTTTGTGAAAGAAAAAAAGAAAAAGAAAACCTCACGAGAGCGAAACTTTTTATATGCTATCTCCTCTATCATCTCCTCGACCCTCGCTCCCGGTTGAACTGTCATTGTCCTGGCGTTCATGTTGAGGGTGACTTTATTCATTTCGCTGAGATCAAGCAAGATGACATCTTGCAGATGGCTCATCTTCGCTAGTCCATTTCCGCCCCCTTTCACCAGCAACGTCCTCTTGCTTTCTTTGGCATATTTAATCTACGCTCCCAGATGCCTAGTCAACTTTTTCTTCTTGATGGGCTTAAAATTGGGACGGGAGTGAGCACACCGTAGTGAGAATGTCATCCTCGCTCTTAACGATGACCACTGCCGCGAGTGGTGGCTCCTAAAAGTGGCTATACCTCCTGCTATTGTGTCCCCAACCATCTCCGTCACTCGGGAGTGATATTTTCCCTGATTTTGACAGCAGTGGTGACAGCTCGGTTCTTATGATTGACCCAACAAGCACTTTGTCAACGGCAGCGATATTAGAAATATCAGGAGCGCTGGAGGTATTATTAAAGGCGCCATGACCCCTCGAGGCGCACGTTAGACTGACCAGAAAGCTGGTCAGGAGACATAAAGTGTTAGTTAACATCTTGACAGTAGTAACAACAACGTCGAGTTGTTCTGACATTTAGACTTTCTAGATGGTGGGGTATGCCACTGTTCTGGAACATATATAGAAAGAACTATGGTATGCTGGTAGGATGGTAACTTGAGGGAAGAGCACACTTGGTTGAATCAAATCGATTCCGGTGTGTATAGCTGCTAGGACAAGCTGGCTTGCCGGAATCAAGCTGACGGTACACTAGCAGGGGTATTATATATATCTAATAGCTTTATATGCCCCGAGAAGGGAATGTAGGTGTAATTATACTACAGTTAAGTTAACTATTGCGGCTGATCATATCAGTAAAGCGAGAAACTCGCCGCGGTAAATCACCAGGCTCACAAGAACCCCTAGGCTGTAAGCCAACCCCCCCCCCCTCCGAACCTCAACCAATACCACTGCACTATTGAGTAACATTCTGGAAATACCGATCGTCATCAAATCCAATAGCATACAGCCCCGGCAGAATACCGTGCTGAGAGGTACTAATTTTCTACCGGCGCAACTAATGCGCGGCACGCCGGTGAGCGTTGAACAGATATTCTAAAAGAACATCACTGGGCCTGCCGTACTGAGAACAAATTTGTGAGCGGATCCTCAAAGGTCCGAGAATAGGTTTGTATAAACAACAACACGGGTTCTTTTGCTTCCCTTGGCGCCTGGAGGGATGAAGTGTTGGGAAGCTCCGTGAAATATTGAGGCTTGGACCGAACTTTCATAGACCCCTTATGACGGCGAGTGTGTTCTTAACGACCAGACCACACGGGATTGGGATGAGAAATAAACAGCAGTGTGGTAGGAAGAGCCCTGTGCAGATATCTCGACACTAAAGAAAACATCAACCGAAATCAGATCGCGTAAATACACACACGATCACCACCACTGCCGGTGGTGGCATCCAGGAAATCGGCGGCGGCGGCAGCATCAGGTCACCAAACACATCTACAAGCTATTATCAACTTACATAAAGTTGTGGAAAAAGGAAGAAGTCCAGCACTACTATGCAGTACTGTACCACCCATCTATTGGATTGGACACATCCTATCATATTACCAATCCCTAGCCAAGCCAACTCTACCCCAAACTACAGAAAACAGCACAGCAAAAGCTGCGGAGCTGCGTTGAGTTGAGTTGAACTGTGGGCGTTGTCCGCCTGTATGGTGTGTGCACTCGTACTGTACTGGTCTGGGGTATGATAGTCTGTCGGTACTTCACATGCTAGCATTCGCACATTGGTAGTTTTCCCACAAAGTGTCCCACATAATAATATGCGAGAATCCCCTGGGGCAGCTACCCCTCCATGTCAGTGCTGAAAGAAGAAGCCCCGATAGGGTAGGGGTAGGGTAGGGGAATTCACCTCAGTGTGAAGCCGGACAGACCGGCCCGTAGAAAGGTGATTCGCTTGAAGCTTTCTCGCTGATCCCGTAGCGCTGTATTGTATCATACTTCCCTTTCTGGTGTTCGACTTTACTCGTAGTGAAAGCTTAGGCCGCCTGGAAGGAAGTACCGGTACTATAACAAGCCCCCGAACTAAAGAAAGCACTGCGGCAGAAAGAAAAAACACTTGAGAACGTAAATTGCTGTATTTACCTTCATCTTTCGAAACTAACAGTATACAAATTCATATGTTTGGGGAGGTTTCAGAGCTAACCAGAACTTGGCATGATATATTATTATATAATAATATTATCCTAATATTATTCAAAAATGCTGAATCTAAGGACAAACACATACTGGAGGACTTCCCGTGAGTCTATCAGGATCGAGGTCTATTGGAATAGAGAGCTGAACAGAAGGTCTGACTTCCCATAGACAGCAGGATTGCAGCCAGCTCCCTCACTTGCTGCATTGGGAATAAACTAAAGCGCTAGTGCAATAACTGGATTTCTTGTTAGATAGAGTTGCATCATATATCCATATTGGAAGAGGTGGTATCTTGTTAGTCTCCCCACTTGCATTTAAACACATTCTATTTCATCGGAATACAAGTAGATGATCTGAATAGAAGGGGGGGGGGTCGCCCCCCCTTCTATTCACTACTTTTACACACCCTCTCCTATTTTACAATATTCGGAAATTGCTGTTCTATCCGGGCGGTATCCCTTGGGCGGTCTGAGACAGTCAAAAATCGTCAATGGGCGCTAAACTAAGAGTGGAAGCTTGGCGCTTGGAAATCAGGCAAGCGATATCAAATGATCATAGGCGCACTCTGTCAAATACCAATAACTCGATCTTGATAGATTGAAAACAGCTTTAGATAAAAAGAAAAACTATTATGATGAACTTGAAAGCCCAGCATGCCTGTTGTGATAACATTCTTTACAAAGAGCAAAGCCACAGCCAGGACCTAGGCATCCATACAAGGTGCGCTGGGGTATTTCACCTTTCCGATTCATACTGCGTAGCATAAATCGACATTGTGCACAACCAACAGGTGAGTCTCACATGCGGGTAAAGCAGTGATCTACCGGAGAGCCAGTGGGAGGAGGAAGCTTAGTTCTTTGCTGTTGCTTACTGTAATGAGGGGTACCGGTCTTTGGAGTGTAATAGGCTTTTCTAGGCTTTCGGGTAACCTGACTGGAAGCATATTTCGCAACTAGCATTTCCACCAAGGTAAGACGAAAGGTATGAGAGCATCCCTGATAGTTGGAGAAGGAAGGGAGTTGCCAGGCCACGAGGTAGGAGTTAATAGCTGTAGTGTCGAGTAGCCAATAAAAGATTGGGGGCCAGTTTCGGAGACATTTCAGCTGGGCAAAGTAATAGCTGCGGTACTGGTCGGCTATATCCACTCCAACCTTATACTGGTTATAATCGTTTGTGATTACTGGGATTGGAACCTTGGCCCTTTCGGGAACACCAAATACCCACCAAATTGCAGGACCATTGCTACTACTAAGACGTGGCTTTTTGCGCTCAGAGATGACTCTATCCTCAAGGGTATAGATAGTAGAGAGAAAGTATACAGCACTGTTGTCTTGCCATTGAACTGCCAGAACAGTACTATTTGGGCAGGCTGAACCTCCAGAAACCTCATTCCATGGTATGTTGGGGCGTTTATCGTCCAGGTGGGGGGGATATGCTTTCTGGTTCACTCGTACGGTTCCACAGGCACCTAATCCTACCTCCCTGTTAGGCGGAGACAACCCGATAGACTTCAGAGTTGTCTAGGCCGATCGAGATTTGTTTTTATAGACGGAGATTGTCTAGGAAGGCTCAGACTTCACTCGTTTCGTTTATGACTACTACGAGCGAAGTAAAGTAGGGTAAAGTAAAGTAAAATTGTAAGAACAATATTATATTGTTAAGGTCTCTTCTCCGTTGCTTGATGATGTCTAAAGCTTGGGAGGCACTTCGATATTTATATTCCGCGTCTGAGTGTTCGCAGGCTACATCTAACTAACATACAACCATGTACCTTTTTCCAATATAACTCGCAACGTCGGGTTTTCTTCCAAGGTGCGAACACCTGGAGACCCTGAAAATCATCACACCCTCTTTGATAATTATAATATGACTTATTTGGAAGTCATGCTGTTTCCAATAGTAATTATCCGATGGTGAGAGTCTTTTTAGACAATTGGCCCAATTCTCAAGTCGAACTGTGTTGGCTCCAATCGTCTCCCTTGTCGATGAAATGATCAGTTTCGTCTGCGGGTTGCATCTGCGAAGATAGTTGTTATTACCGACTTTCTAGGTCGTCTAACTTCAACTCTTCATAACTCCATACCCAACCGATAGATCTTTTCCGGAGGACTTCCTACTTACCTGCAGGAAGCCTTTCCATAGGGTTGGTAGATAATCCCTCGGTCGGTAATCCTTGGTTACCGTGGGTAATAGGATTCTGGTTACTGTCACCGGTTTGGGAGTCACCCCCTCGGTTGCAGTATGTACCGGAACCTAGTTGTAACACTCCTCGAACTCCATTGGGTTCGATGGTAGTATTCTCAGGAGTTCCAGACTCTTCTGGTTATCGTAGGGTGGATGTGAATGTATTGGTCTTTCATTAAGATCCTTTACTATTCATTATCATCTCTTTGCTCGAATACGTCCTGTTACTTGCGGCCTATGCCAAAGATATCTCGTTCTTGAAGCCTAGTAACTTTCTGGGTAGTTGACGGATTCACTCCGTTATACTTCCCAGACCTAGCCGAAGGTCCCCTCTTATATATCCTGCGAACAGGATCTGGTCGGACCGACGGCGGCGACGTATACAGTGTTATTTTAACACCTTCGATTCTGTGGTATAATACTCACAGGACGCAACTTAGATTGATATGTATGATGACGCGCGGGCCCCGTAAGGGGGCCGGAGGGGGGTGTTGGAGACCTGAGATTTCGATTTCGGGAGAGGTTACCCTACCTAGGGTGGTTCCTAGGTATCGGATCTCGGTATTCCTAACACTCCCATAGCCTCTCTAACAGGGCAATAGATGGGAAATAGTTATCTATATATATGTTGAAGTGAAGGCCGGAGGTATACGGTAAGGCTGCTGCTAGCTGAAATACTGCTGACCCAGTAGGAGTAAGCCCTTCCTGAGGAATGAGCTCAGCAAATGATTCAGACCAGGAAGCGAATATCCAGTTATAGGTGTAGCCTAGATCACACAGTACGAACACCTTATAACCTTCCTTAATTGGCTTACTCGGCATTCGATAAGTGTGATGGCTACAACCACCAAAGCGTATCATCATCTCATCTACCGTGACATTGGAGGAAGGAAGATAGTATTGCTGGCATCTGTTCTGAATTAGGCTATTTAATGGCTCTAATTTGTAATGCCAATGGGATCGAGACAAGGTTTCCTTTGGATCTGAGATATGGAGATAGCATTTTATCTGACTAAAGTGCTTGAGCGACATCATTCGAAGAATCGAATCTCCTCCCCTATACCTCCAAAACTCCTGACTTTCCATACCCCTCCGGGCCCCCATATAGATTAAGAGTGCAAGGAATACTCTTATCTCATTTCTGGTAACTCTTTTCCATCGCTGTTGGGTTTCTGCTCCTGCTCCTTTCTCTTCTGCATATGTATTGGTTCCGACCACAAGCAGTTCAATGGCCTCCGCATCCCAAAATAGCTCAAAGATTTGAACTACTGTGATATCAGAACCTTCCCAGGGTAACAGTGGCTCACCCTTATGGTCTATTCGGGGACTGAGAGGGGTGTAGGGGGTGTGAGCAATTTGTTCATTTATACTCGGCTTGCTTGCTGCACTCTGCTTCTTTGTCGGTTTCTTTGGTATACTCGACTTCTTTGGCAATTGGGAATTGGCGGAACTGGGCGTTAAAGGTGCTCATACTTGCTTTGTGTTCAGTATCATATATGTATCTCAAGACCGGCCACAAGAGTTGAGGTTGTTGTACAACCACACTGTTGCACCCATTCTAGAAAAGCGTCATCCCTACTAGGAAATGATGTGCCTTTGACGATTTTTGACTGTCTCAGACCGCCCAAGGGATAGGCTTACGGGAAGTCCTCCACTATAGCCCTCTACAATTTGAATCTGTTCTGAAATAGCCCTTATTTTGCTTATGTAGGGCATTACATTTTGCAACGCCTACTAGTCCACGTTTTGGACGTCCCCCACCATACTATCTTCTCCGCTTGGGGTGGAAAGACTGACGCAGTGGGTCCTCGAGCCTGCCGCGATATTGGGTAAGCTAAGCCTCACGAGAAATCATCCATGGAACACTTTCACGCAAAACAGACCAGGAGCATACTGAAAAGCGGGATGGATTAAAGGTACATCGTGAAAAGTTCCAAACCATAGACTGGCTTGAAGAAGGGGAAAAAAAGGAACCATCACCATCACAAAAACCGGTTCGACTGGAACAGCCAAATAAAACGATAGAAAAAAAGACAAGCTGATTTCCAAAGCAGCAACCCCATTACCCCCAGTCCATAGCCTTCCTACAAATCCCCATCCTGGCTGATTGTGCGCTTTCCCTCCTCCTTGTCCTCATTCCCTAATTATTCCGGCACCTTTCCTCCATTCTCTGATTATTTCTCCTATTCACCCGGCACCCTTCCTCCATCCCCCAATTTGTTCCCCCAACAGACGATCCATCTTAGTTATCGTTAGAACTATTGAGAATCCTCAGGATACTATAACCCCACTCATATTAGCACCGGCCCAGAACCAAGTCAAGGAATCGCAAAATCAAGAAGGGAAACATACGCAAGGAACAAGTTAATAATATCCAAATACAGAGCAATCGCCGCAGCAATCTCCTCCTCAACATGCATCCTCCTCATAATCATCTGCGTATCGAACAAGATATACGCGGAGAACAACAAAGCCGCGATGCCCGAGTACATAAGTTCGACCCAACCATTATGCGGGAAGAACATGGAGACGAACCCGAGTACGATGAGGAGCCAGAGCGCGCCGTAGAGGTAGCTATGCCAACTTGAAAAGTCGTATTTAGTCTGCATGGCAAACAAGGTCAGCCCGGCAAAAAGCAAGCCGGTGATGATGACAGCCTCAAGCACAATCCTATAGTCGTAGAAAGAGGTTACGATGGCAACGGTATAAGCTTCGACCAAAGTGAATCCGGAGAGGAAGATCAGGTTCATAGGATAGGAATGCCGCTTCCAGAACGTCAACCCAAGGAATCCTAAAGAGCCAAAGAGCGCTATGAAAAGCATCCAGGTGTTCGTTTGAATCCATGTTTTGAACGAGTCGTTGAAGAAGGAAATTGAACTGAAAATTGCTGTAACGATAAGTTGAACCGTGAGGATTGCATAAACTTTTCGCACGAAGGCATGGCGGATGTCGATTGTGGCCTCGGCTACAGAGGTTGAGTACTTGAAGTCGTCGGGGATCTGGTATTTCGTCAATAACGGCAAGTGGGAGTTTGCGGGCAATAGAGTACGGGGGGAGGAACGTTATCTTCACTACTGCGGGGGGTCCCCATCAGCGGTGACTGATCCCCAGTATAGCCCGGAGGGGGCCTCGTGTAAGAAGTCGACGCCTCATTGCTACCGTAGGTGGGTGGATGGTGGGGAACTGTGCTTGGGGCTCCCATTTTGTTTGGATAATCTATCGAAGAACTATGTGAGAAACGCAGAGGCTGCAATACTGTTATCGAAGGTTTGTGAAGGGTAGACAAGAGGTGGGCGAGAATGTGGGGGTTCGTGGAAGGAAACGGATGGATGATGACAAGACGGAAGCTGACAAAGAGAGCAGATTGCCGACGTCAGTGTTTGACTGAAAAATGATTCCAAACCTCAAATGGCCACGGAAAGTTCTGGCTTACCGTACTAGCTTGTGGCGCAATCCCCGTGCTGCAAGCTGCACGTACCCGAAGCTCCCCCAGTCATAATATCTAGTGTGATTGCTAAGCGCTAGATCACGGGAAGTGGGGCTTTCACCTTTCTCTATCATAATAAATCTAGAAGTCTCAGATTCAATCAACCTAGAACCCTCCATCATTTCATATTCGGCCACAAAAATCTCCAAGTATCATACCAAGTATGAAAATACTGAAAATTATGCCCAAACAAGAATCAATGTTTAATTGTAAGAAATTCATCAGTGTCGCGACTACCACCCGCCCCCTTTCGAAATCGCGATGCTCGCGATACTAACAGTAAATGGTATCCCCAGCTAGGCGATGAAATACGGCATCAGCACCACGCCAGACATTACGCTCTTCCTCCCAGAAAAAGAGAGCACCTAACCGGCCCAAATAAATAAGGGGAAAAACTAAAAAATGCCAAAGCAAGCCAACCATCCCGGAACCGTGCATCAAAAATGAAGAGGGGAAAAAAGAACGCCAACATCCATCAGTCCATAATAATAGAAAAGTGAGGGAAACAAGAACGGTGGGGAAACCAAACGATATAACCTCCAGTCCACTATATGAAACACTCAAGAAGAATAAAGGAAGGATAGAAGGAAAAGGTATCATATCTATACAACAGGCAAGGCAAATCTAATCAAGCAGGACAGTTCTAGTCGAGGTATTCTCTGCACTTAACGCTCACAATATCCTCTTCTACTCTTCCCCCTTTATTCGCTTTGAGGATGTATGCGGACAGTCTCCTGCCGCGAATGCAACCGCTGTCGAGACCTTTTGTGTAGCGGCGGATGTCAAGCCCTTCGGCTGCGTAGTGGCCGTAGCTATTCACCGTGTCAGCGTCTGGCGGCATAATTCGGGTGAATAAATGGAGGGCGAACACTACGGTGGTATGACCATGGGTTTCTCTCCTCTCCATTTTGTTCCAGTACTTCGCCCAGTGCATTCCGTTCTGTTTTGGCGATGGGACGAGATGATGGTTGAGGGTTCTCATGGTCATTATCGCCACGGGGTCCTTCAGACCTAATCAGCATAGTCCTCAGAATATCCAAATAGGAAATACAGTAGATACCTGTCTCCTAAGCCCGATACCGTGCACCAACCCAGCGTGCACAATATAATACTGTCCAAGCCCAGGAACCTTCTCAGCTCGAACCACAAGCGGGCAAGCATCCAACCACTCAGCCTGCTTCTTGGACAAAGATTTTGCCAATTTTCTCTCCACGCTCAGACTCGGAGACTCTTTTTCGCCCACCCCAAGCCCCATATTGCCAAACTCCCCCTCCTCCCCCTCCCCCTCCTCCTCGCCACCTTCCCCCTCTTCCTCTTCAGGCTCGGGTTCATCTTCGGACGCTAAATGATGCTTCCGCTTCCGTCTCTGGATATCATGATAGTGTAGCAAAATCCTGTCCTCATGATTACCCCTTACGCAATGCGCGCCAATCTTTCTCGCGAAGTCTAGAACTGCGAGGCTATCTGGCCCCTTGGAAATGATGTCGCCGGCGAGGACTAAGTAGTCCGACTCAGAATCATAAGAAACTTTGTCAAGGAGACTTTGGACTATATGCCACACGGTCAGCTACGCCCAACTCAAACTCGAAAAATGCAGGAGAAGGGGAGGGGAGGGGGAAAGTCAAACACTCATCGAACATCCCGTGTATATCGCCAACAATAATCAACCTCTTATCATCTCCCTCTCCCTTCTTAACTCCCCTCTTCCCACGGCCAGGAATACTCTCGGCGGGGATATCTTTAACGAGGGTATACCCCAACCTCCCTGAGATCCCTTCATTCACTCCCGCGTAGTCATCCTCCCACTCGTCACCCCCGAACACGGGTGCTTCCCCATGATTACATCCTCCTACTGAGCACGAATACGCCCAAAACGTAGATATCGCTAGAACACCCGCGAGGAGTCCGAACTTGATTTTCGAAAATGCACGTGAGCTTCGTGACGCAGCGGGCGCTGCAGTTGGCGACTGAGAGGTTGTCGGGGGTGGAAGCAAAGGAAGAAGGCCGTGGGTGGTTTTTTGCGCCATGGTTGAAATGAGCACTAGGATGTCGAGGAGGGGGTGAGTGAGCGAGTCTAGGAGGGTGGGAGTAAAGATAAAGAGGGAGGGGAGAATACTCGTAGAAGCAGGGGGAGGGGGATGAAAAGGAATGGGGGGGAAGCTAAGTTAGGATTACTTCAGGGTCCAACCCGACAAGGTGCGCAAGCGGAACCGACCAGGCCGGAATACGGCACGTGTACCAGTTAAACTAAACTAAGCTAAGCTGAGATGTCTGAAGAAAGGACCCGAGAAAAGAGAAAAAGAAAAAGAAAAGGGAAATCTTGAGTTCACGAAGATCTCTTTCCACAATATCATACCGCACCGTTTACCAGCGTAGGTCGCAGCTAGAATAGGGAACAAAAGTGGGGGACAGCGACGTAGAGCCACACCATAGAAGGGAAAGAAAAGGCGGGAAGAGAGAAAATTCCTTCCGCCTAACCCCCAGATACATGCCTCCCCCCCACAGCGTAAGGCCTGACAACTCATCGCTCGAGGAGAAAACAGAAAGGAGCGACGAAAACCAAAAAAGTGTTTCAAACACCGCAGGGGGGTCCAAACCCTACACCAACCAACACACCGGCAGTGGCCCTCGCTCAAGAAAACTTTCTCCCAAACTTGTACAGTACCCTACGGTACAGCTCCAGGAGCGAGTCTCTTGCAGTGTCGCACATATCGTTTGGCCCTCGCTTCCTATATGGGAACTATATGGGCGCATGCGCGGGGTGGAGGTATCATAATGAGACGCCATTGTGATCGCAGACAGGGCTAGGGTTGGGGTTTTTTCTTCCGATTCCCCTCCCCGCATTGAACATAGGTGGGTGCTGAGAACTCATCGGGACTGGGGGATTCGAGAATGGGATTTAGATTCCCTCGTTTCCGTTGTAACTTGAGTTGTGAAGATGCTCTCTATAAGCCTTTTTGGAACCGGTCCGTTATCTCCCTTGTATGCTAAGTTATCTGTAGTCGTGTTTGAGTACAGTAGCACGTGAGTAAGTAAGTACTCGGGCATGGAAGTAAAAATCGAGTTCTCCAGAGAACCCTGCCGTTGCCATGACGGCTGAGTTGGCCGGAATTGCTGAAAAGATCTGCATGCCTGAGACACCAAGTACCCAGACCAATACTGGGCAGACATAACATGAGACTGATGATCACTGGTATTGGACTGGTATGAAGTTAGAATGATAAAATAAAAGAATCAGGTTTTGAGAGAAGGTTAGAAATAAAAGAGGTTGATTTTGTCAAAGCAAATAGGCTTTGTCAAATAAGTGTTCCGTTTATCACAAGTAGTGATATCATATAGCACTATGGCTCCTCATGCCTATTCCCAAGTCTCCAAATCTCTACCTGCTACTACCAATAGTAGTACTATGAGCTCTGTCGAAGGGGTTGCTGATGTGTCATTTGATGAGTACATTGAATGGCACAATCAACAACTTGAATATGAACTTGAAATAACTCCTATACCTATGAGAAAGGTAAGTTCAGTATTTGAAGTAATAGACTCAGGCTTGAGAATAAAGTTAATCTAACCTGTAATCTAAAAGGCAATTGAGGACTTGGAAGGAGAGAAAGAAAATGATAAGCCCAAAACTCTAAGTCTGAAGAAAACATACTGAACCATAATACCTGCAACTCGTGATTCAATTAGACATCTCCGTTATTGTAGTTGGACCTACCAGCAGCTTCATGAGAAATACAACATACCTATGGGAAGCCTTTACTGCCACCTCCATGGTACAGCCACAACTACATACATCCAAAATACCAATAGTTAGCGTAGTCATAAGTCAGTTTTTACAGGTTCACTTATTCACAGTCTTATCGATACTGCCACAGCTAGCTCGTATAACCACCGCCTTCAACTGACTGAGGTTGCTAAGTTAGTGGGAATTAAAGCATCTGATCAATCCTTACATCATATCTTCCAAAGTCAGGGCTACAACCAGCATGTAGCACAGGTCAAGCCATTTTTGGTTACAAAGTCTAAAGAAAACAGGCTCAATTGGACTATGGATTTCCATGATTGAGATGTACACAATTTTAGTTATGTGATCTTTTCCAACAAGGCAGCCTTCAATTGCAGGGAATTATCAGGTACTGTATAGGTCACTTGTAAGGCAGGTGAAGAGTATGATGAAGATTGCCTTGTAGCTAAGTTTAAAAAACTTACAACTATTATGGTTTGGAGTGCGATCTGTGGCAGTCAAAAGTCGGAGCTCATGATTTGGGAAATGGATAGCTGGGGCAAAATTTCCTCTCAAACATATCTTGAACACCATCATCCATCCTGTTCTTGTACTATGGTGGCTACAACTTTATCAGCAAGGTAGTCACTCAGGATATATCAATTTCCAGCAAGATGGCGCTGCAGCTCACCAAGCTAAAAACACCATCAATGAGCTCAATCAAATTGGTATAGGCTCATATCTTTTCCTATGACCTGCCAGCTTACCAGACATGTCCCTCATTGAAGAAGTCTAGAAGAAGATGAAGCACAATATCAGTAAGCATAATTCCCAACCCATCACCCTTCCAGAACTCAAACTAGCCATCAACGAGGAATGGGACAACCTTGATCCAGAAACGATTACCAACTATATGTCCTCAATGTCTGAGCAGATTCACGATCTTATTGCTGTCCATGGTGGTCATACCAAGTGGTAACCATAGTTTTCACCTGTTTTCACCTTTCCTTCCCTCTTTCTTTCCTTCCTTACGGCTCTTTTTTTTATTAATTTTTTTTTTTAACCAATCTCTCTCTGTATTCATAATACAAAACTAGGTGGACTCAGTGGCAAAATTGACTCAGGGGGAAGGAATCTAGGTGCGGGGAAGGAATTTGGGTTATCTGCGATTTCGTACTTTGAAGTTTCAAGTCTTTTTGTTATTATATAACAGCTGGCTTTCATGATGATCAAGATGCAACAACTCCAGGTTTTTGCCTTTCCAGACTCCCCTGTCTTTTCCAACAGGTGATCTTCACGATTCCTGAGATTCCTTGTTCATATCCCGGCATTGCTCGATTTTTACTTCCATGCCCGAGTACCCAAACGGTTAGTTAAAGAGAAAGAAGGCTTTCTCTATAGTCTTTCCCCATTGGTTCTTGCGAACATCTAGTGCAATAACCAATTTAGACAATTCCCGAGAATGGTAGGTTGACCCATCATGCTAACCAACTGCTCAACCAACCCACCCCTTCCAACTACGGTACAGTATGCCGGTAGTACCGCACTCTACCGCACTATCATCGCAAGTCGGGCACCGTTATCTATGATAGTGGCCGACACAGTAGCTTCCTTCCCACTTCGGATTATCGCCAGATAGTAACCGTGCCGATGTTCCTGCCGATTGTGGAACAGCGCGCAGTTCCAAATATTGAAGCATGTCTCCGAGGTCCTCTCAGCTCAACTCAAGATACCAGCTCAACGTAGGGTTTCAAACTATAGGCTATACTTTTGAAGGCTGCCGGGCATTAACACCGTCTTCTTTCAACTGTTTAAATCAAGTGTTTTTGCTCCATACCAAACCAATCAAGTTCCTTATGAACTGGTTTCTGCGGCTTTTTTCCGGTCCTCTTTCTCCGATCTTTCTAGGCTGTCGTTGAGCCTGTTGCTCCCTCTTAACTGTCCATCCACCTTGCTATCAAGAAGCTCTTCAGTACCCGAAACTCCTGCGCCATAGCTATAGTATCTATCTTATTGACTTCCAATAAGCTCTCGCGAGCATCTCTGATCCTTGGCTCAACATTTGTATATAGATGGAGCTTCTTGGTATGGGTGACTAGGAATGCAAATTTATGTGGAGGGTAAATCTTGCGTTGAGCTGAGAAGCACATCGGAGACGTGCTGCAAGATTTAGAACTGCGCGCTGTTCCACAATCAGCAGGAACCTCGGCACGGCCACGATATAAACAGCACATATACGGTACTCTCCCTACCTGCACCCGCATCAAACCCTTCTGATCTGCCTGGAGTAAATTTCCCTTTCCGTACCTGCTCCGATAGACCAAGTCTCCCCTCCTTCCTGATTGAAAAGCCTATATGATATCTACTCGTAGCATGTAGCATCTGGTCCACCGGGCATGCAGACTCCCTCTAATTGTCATCCTTCGGGTGGCGGGAGACAGCAAAATCCATTGTCAGGCGCGCTCAAGCCAAATTGGGCTGCAGTTAGCTGTCCTTGGCTTGGAAAAAGTGCAAACGGCCTAGCACTGGGGTCTGCCGGAATATCCTGAGCACTCACATTTTTCCAAAATAATATTCACGTGCCTGATAAGGAATTTCACAGTTTCAGGGCGCCAGATGGGTAACTGCCACGTGGTTAGGAATTCGACCACTCTCTATCGTGACTTACAGTACCGGTGCCAGGGGAAGGAGGGCTTTGTAGGCTAACCCGCATACCGGTATGTGCTTATGGGAACATTTTCATCGAGGGGTGGTATCATCTACCGGTGTTGCGGTAGATGTACGAGCGCCGTATTCCACGGATACAAGGGGCAAGGAGATACCGAGAAGGGTGTTGATATGGATTTGGGTCAAAATTAGTGGGACAGTACGCTACGGTACCGAAAACATAAGCCTCCCATTGCCCAACAAGAGCCCGGATAGGGTCTTCCTTTTGATGGCTTTGTTGAATTGGAGGCCAAGCACCCGATTCACTAAAAGTTAACCAAGACGGGAAGAAATACTCGAGTAGAGATACTCTTAGGGCAATGTTTTCCCTGGTGTACCGCTTTTGCTGAAGTTTTAGCTATGATATGAACGGCGGCGCCACACTATGCCGACCCCCATCCCCGACCCCCACACAGACTTCACGAGTACCGGTATCATATCGTACCCGCATGTGCCAGCGGAGTCAGCTCTGGTCCGTCGACGACATTGCTAATGGGAGACATCTGCTTTTGCACGTACTGTACTTGTACCAGGTGCAATGAGCCAGAACATTTGAGTCCGAATTTACTATAGACACTTGGATGTGCGCAGACAATCTGCCATACAAATTTCTGCCCCTCATGTTAGGGTTCATTATTCCTGGTATGATATGGCGAGGGACGTCTGTGGTCGGAGTGCATTGCCAAGAATATATAGCTCAACTTCAATTCCCAAATGATTTTCAACAACCACTCCTGTGAGAATTATGAAATGGTAGAGTGGGTGATTTCCTATAATAAGAGAATGTAGGGGACATGTTAATTGTGGTTGATTTCCCCGGCACAGACATGGAACTGATATTTTATTGGCTGTGGCCAAGCTATTAACCTGTAATAAGGCTATGCTTGGGATATTAACATACTATCATCTGCGAGCGGATCAAGTTATTGTCCACATGAACAAAAAAATACAGTATCATACAGCAAAACCCAATGCCTGTTGCACAATAGCTTGGTTGGCGCGCAAGTACGAAGCCCGAAGAATGTCCGCATTATCTGGCTACAGGTCCCTCATCGTACGTGTATTTATTCACTATTGTAAACCTCCTATGTGGAGGGGATGGAGCCTTAATTTATTTCTTCTAGCCTCGCCGAGTAAACCAAGTTGTCGGAGTACGGCATGGGTGGTATAATAGGTCAACTAATATGATATATACAACTTAGGGATTTTTTTTCTTTTTTTCTTTGAAAAATCGTAACCGGCGTGTATAACAAATCTAGCTTGCTCTCCCCTTCGAACAACTCACCAAGGGAAACAGAGAGGAAATAAAGAATGAAATACGCTCCAACACCATGCCCCCCGTCTTCATGGCTCATGGCTCGCATCGTGAGATCTGTCTTCAACATCGTCAGTGTCGAAACCGCCCTCTTTGCATGCCCAACTATCAACGTCTGTTGAAACGTTAGCACTGCTCTTATTCTTCATGGGGACTATATAGCCTACGTTTTAAAGTTTCTCTACTCCACCATTTGTTCATCAAGTTTAATCGGATCGGGACAAGGAGGACTATAATCACCGGGAACACCGGGGCGCCAGGAGTAAACGTGACAGCGAAGATTCCTGCTGTAATCACGATTTGAAGAAGGGTGTACATGTGTATCCCTCGATAGCCTCTGATCCCGTCTGGCAATTGGGGGAGCTCACTCGATGGCCTAAAAGGCCTATATTAGCCTTTTTGACAACTGCAAACGAGGAGGACTAACACACGTCAACATATGGAAGAACCGGAACAAGATCGGGTTAACGCTGAGACTCTGTTCACCCATGTACAAAAACAGCCCCGCGAGGACACTCGTAGGCGTAAGTCCGAGAACATGCATGAACGGCGGGCTCACAAATAACATGATCCCGATTGCGTGCAAAAGATGACTCCATCGCTGCTCATACACTGTCTGGATAGTTTTGGTCTCTCCATTCACTTTCACTTCTTCGCTATGGAGCAGACTTTCGGAATGGAGAGGTGCCTGTGGAAGAAGACCATTAGCTGGTGGAATCCCGAGAATACCACACAGCGCTGTTGTTGTGCCCAAAAGTGCTACGTCCCAAGCATATCCGCCTGGCTTCCTTATGTTATATCGAGAGAGCGTTGCACAGATAGTGGAAACCTCAACATCGAAGAAGAAAAGGGTGGTTATGATCAGGCCAGGCAGTATAGCAGCAAATATCCAGCTCGCGGGTAGGGTCCAGAATTCGACAATGAAACGAGTCCTTTCGGGGGAAGTCGGACGGAAGGAAGCTAAGCAAGTTGTTGAGTAAAGAGCGAGTGATAATAGGTGGAGGGCTTGGAGAGCGACTGACTGGACACGGGGAGCCTTTGCTGATCCAGGCTATTCAATTCTCCAATATGAGGCATGGCGATAAATATGACAATTGATATTGCGGCAGCATACTCTGCCAGTCCCATCCTAACATATTTGTGGAAGAGTGGAGCCCAGCTATTCGCCGTGCTTAAGGTCACTGCGACCAAAAACGTTCCAACACATCCAATGATGGAATATAGAAACGAGGCAAATGAGGTATTCGCATGTGACCTCTCTAGTTCTTGCACTCTAGAGAGGGTTAGTCGATGACCGAAGCACGGGGATGGATGTGGAAGTTACTCACGCCTTATGAAAATAGATAACAGAATTGAGTAACGAAAAGATCTCGGTTGAAAACGTAGTAACATATTCCATTGTCCAGTCATGTGCATTGAATATTGCCAACAGCCAATGCATCCAAGCAGAATGAATGCATGCCCAAGCCATAAACGGCAAATAGGGTATCTATAATATTATTACCTCCAATTAATAAAATACGGCCATGGCAACCAGACCCACGACGGGCTTCAGCCCGCCAGATTTAGTAGGTCACATGACTTACATGGAAGTCCTCATGACATAAGGCGTAAATACGTTCAGAGAGAATACAGAAGGGCCCGGTAACGCCCAAAATGGTGAGGGGCTGCCCCGAAAATCTAGATGTCCCAAATCAGCTCGGGTCACTTGAGTATAACACACAATGTCACACACAATGCAAATATAATTCCACAAAGCCCTGTCGAAAACACAACCTCTATAGCCCCATAGTTCCTCCCAGTCAGCACATAGAGATCACTGGCAAACGTGATCCCAGGTAATAAATTTGTAAAAAAGACGTATACAGCCGACGCAAGAATCAATTGGTTGAAACCCCAATCCATGTGATATATCTTCGCCCTGCCATTGAAATCTGACTTGAGAAGCCGAAACGGGGCCAGGGCTCCATTGCCCCGAAATAATGCTGCCACCCCATGAACTGTTGGTCGAAGGAAGTGAAATTTGTTCGATTCAGATTTTTGTCGCCTCGAGATCGCATCCTGTCGCGAATGAAGCGCCTTTTCGGGGTCGGCAGGGATAGTTTCCGGACCGGTACTCGGTGCGGTGGAACCTGAAGAGGTATCCATATGCTGTTCGTTAGGAGGTGTGTCTAGTAAAGTTTTGCTTGAACAAGTGCTGTTCGACATGTAGCTAAGATGTAAGGCTACGCCCTCAGAGGTCAGTAGGAACTTGAAAATATGATCCCTGCCACCATATATGGCGGCTCGAGATCAGAGAGGAGAGGATTTGCTGGTGCCCTGGTTCCCAGTGCCATACATACCTGATCAGCTTGATTACCGTATTCGCAGTCTCAATCTTGAATTGAGGCTTGAGTATCAGGGGTTTGGGAGCACAGCCATATTGACTTTCTAAGTTGAAATGTTGGTTTTATAGCACCGAGTGCTTGCTGCACAGCCCTTCTATACACGTACCGTAAAAAAAAACCTAGTTTTCTCTTCCGCTATTTCTCACCGTGTAACAGAAGCAGGAACACCTTCCCTGTGTCTTCGTGCAATTCCTCTCCTTGGTCGCCACAATCCTGGATACCGGGATACCAAGAAAAAGCAACGACTGTTAAAAGCAAATACTAAAGATTCTCAAGTTTTTGCGAACTTTAGGAGCGCCCAAAAGAAGGCTCCGAGCTAGAGATACAAGATCTAACAGGAACGAATACCTTATATACAATCCGTAGGGGACATTCATTGTAGTGGAACAATTGAAGGCATAAAAAAAAAAATCCTTTTTCTAGAGAGCCACCCTCGCGCCCTGCAAGCGACGGAGCATTTCCCGTCAGATCCTTACCCTCCTTGGATCACACATATCTTGGCGCAAGGCAGACAACGACTGCGACTGCAAACTTTTGGTGGTTCCTGCTGGATCATTGTGGAAAATAGTACTTACGACAAAGAGCAAGACCAGAATTCCTCTCGATCCACTTTCTCTGGCATTTGTGTACTCTACACCCTGGACCACCGGTACTACCCGACTCAATTGAGGGCTTAAATCCCAATACCGGTAACAGCGCCCCGAAAAAGGACCGGGAGAAAACAGCAAGTCCAGACGCTCTGCCCGTGTCTCTGAGCCGCAGCGACTCGCTCTTCAAAATTTTCTGTTGGGCCCCACCGTATCTTGATCTAATCTCCCGCTGAGAATAGGTCCCCGGCTAGGGCTTGGTCCAATCTAATTTATTATCCTGGGCTTGGCACATTAGCGACATCAAGATATTCTTGGCCCGAGCTCTACAAAACTTTCGGCAACCGGTCCATACAAGACCCTGCAGTAAGCAGGTTTTTCGCAATATTTACCTATTCACAGTCCCTTTCGTGGAGGAGGCATTTTATTGCATTCTTCACTATACCGGCAGAATGAACCTCCTCCCTGCTCGAAGTATGATGCCTCCTGCAAGGTGTTATCTGTATCCACATCAATCACTCGGTATCAGCGTGCGTATGCATGCTAGGCCCCTGTCTATTCTGACAAAGCTCGCGCGGGGCCCCGGGCTACCGAGCACACAGGACTCTTCTTTTGTCCCTCGAAGAGAGTTCCCTTATCCCTCAAACCTCATCACGTCATATTTTCTTGGTCATCACCGTGCAGGGCTGGATAGAATGAAGCAGCTTGTATCTTCAGTGGATTTGATCATTGAGTGTCGGGATTACCGGGTTCCGCTATCATCCCGCAATCCAATGTTCGAAGAAGCCTTGCAGGAGAAGGAAAGGTTGATAGTCTATACCAAAAGAGACTTGGCGGCTGAGGAGTTGGACCTGAAGGTTTGCAAAAAGTTTCCCCTCACCGCTACCCCCAACCGTGGCCCTATTCCCTGCCAACATATGCATGTCTTGGTTCTCAATGCCCCATCCTCCCAAAAATTGGGTGGATCGGAGGGTTATTGACCGTGGTAGCGGGCGATATGATATATATCAACCCCACTTACTATATCCATCTTGCTTGCTCCATGCACCTCTCAAGTACTCGTAGATAGATGCCCTTCGTGCTACTGATCCTAGAGGGCTAGGGTTCGTAAGGCTGACTGCGGCATTAATACTTAGGCACAGGAGACCATTAGGAAATGGCATAGACCCCACGAGATTATTTTTTCGGACAGCAAAGATCGTAAGGACGTTCAGAAGATCATTGACTACGCCAAAGGTAGCCTCCCCTCTTTATTCCCGGCTCTTCCCCATGCAAGGGTAAATGTACTCGAGTAGCAGGCCGCATCATGAAGTGGAAAAGTAAAAAGCTCATGGAATATACTCGAGTAGGTACAGCAACAGCAGCTGACAACACGATTGGTTCAAGAATGCTCGTAGTCGGAATGCCAAATGTGGGCAAATCCACTCTGATAAATGCCATGCGCCGAGTGGGCACAGGGAACTCAAAGAAAGCCGCCATAACAGGTGGTCAGCCTGGAGTAACCAGGAAGATCTCGATGACAATAAAGATATCGGATGATCCATTGATCTATCTAATAGACTCACCTGGTCGGCCTCCTCCCCATCCCCTCTTTCTTTATCTTTCATATTAATATTCTCCAAATGGATGTAGGTGTTTTTGTGCCATACATGCCGAATCCACAAACGATGTTATCTCTAGCACTGGTAGGCTGTGTCAAAGACTCCCTCCTGAATCCTACAGCCTTGGCCGATTACCTCCTATTCCATCTCAACCTCCGAGACCCCTCGTTGTATTCCGGATACTGTCCTCCCACAAACGACATAGTGGAGCTTCTGACCGCAACAGCCAAGGCAACGGGAAGACTTTTGAAGGGGGGAACCCCCGACTTTGACGCTACAGCATACTGGCTAGTGCAACGGTACAGAGCCAGTGCCTTGGGCAAATTTATCCTCGATGACGTTAGTGAGACGGCGTACCAGGCATGGCTAGATGCTGAGGAAAAACAAGGAGAGAGCAAGAATGCCGCCCGAAAGAGGATGAAGGAGGAGAGGAAACTTGCAAAGATAAAAAAGCGGAGAGATGCTGAAATATAGCTAACGATGAAATAAAAATGACAGCAAAGAAATCTTTGGCGTTTGCGAGGGTAAATTTTTAGTTGTGAGTTCTATCCGCGTGTGCAATATCGGCGTTTTCAAATGCAAACCGAGACTACATCGCACTAAAGAGCTAGGAACTTGTCCCAGCGGGATGCACGTCGATTTCCTGAGTTGACCAAGCGCAAGAGTTCCCGGAATCGTAACATGAGAACCATAATTCCCCTTTTCCACTTTCCTCCCAATGTACATGTGTCATACACTAGAAGGCTAAAAGAAACAGCGACCCCGCAACGAAAGGAGTTCTGGCCCCCTATAACAGATCCTCCAAGATCCATCACCCCGAGCCCCCTAATTGATATATTCATTCACGTCATTTTGCCTCACTCGCTGTAACGGATCTGCCGTCTTCGGCTTCTCGCCGACCCTTAGGGGTTGCCATAGCTCGCCATTCTTCGTCTTCGTCAAGGCCGGATCTAACTGTGGAGGAGGCTTCGGTTGAGCTATCCAACGTCAATCAGGCTAGTTTCCGACTCAGCAGGAATTGCAGAAGATCTTACTTTGTCGTTTGAAATATCTGGGCATCAAATCCTCAGCTCCAGGCCACACGTGCACAGGCCGGGTTTCTTCGAGCTGCCGAGCGGGAAGGGCCCAGACAGCGACAACAGCCACAAGGACTATGCAAAATATTATCCGCCGTAATGTCATGTTCGATGGTTTTTGTTTTCCGACTTGGTTAATCTCAAGTGGAGGCCTTTATTGGGGGAGTCAGGGTTTATATACAATGGCTCACTGATGGGCGAGACCCTGGGCTAGAAGAAGCGCCAGAGGTGTCGCAACTGTCTTGATGCTACGATGGCGTAGGCGTTATTTTAGTCGGAAAGCTTGAGGGGGATACCATGGATCGGGGGTAAATCTAAGAATTTTTTGGTAGAGTACCCCACCGGAAGCAATATCATTCAAGTTTTCATAGGCAAAGGCTGACATAATACTTCCCAAGGGGATGCTGAAAGGCAATACCCAAGCATACGACAGGAAGAACTATTCCATTTTAAAGAAGGCATGGCAGGAAGTACCCTGCCCGATCGAATAGGGTCCTGAAATTTTTTTAGTGGTAATCAACAAGTTTCTTGAATCCCTTTTTCGGTACCCCCCCCCCCGTTACATTAACCTCTAAATTCGGCTTCCCGCTGATCGGCACCCATTCTCTAGCAGAAATGACAATTGTCCCTTTTTTCTTCACATCACCAACACGAACAAACCCCTCAACCCCTCCATCACAAATTTCCGTACCAATACTCTTCTGGCATAACTCATTTGTGGTCATACGAGTACTGCAATGACAGATGCTCTGTTCTCCCCCTCTCCCTTCCCCCTTTCTTCACACCAAGTCACCTACAAGGACGCCAGTGGAACGTTAATTACTTCCATACAAGCGGTATCGCGAGACGAGGACACAGGACTCAAAAAGGCAAGTCCCCAATTTAACCAATATCCGCTAATGCCACTAGCTAACAACGGGAACAATCCCGACCTAGCGACCGTGCCATGCCACAAACAATGAGTGACGGCAACACTGCATTGTCACCACCCCAACGGCAAATACCACACTACAAGCACCAGGTCCCGAAACACGGTAGCTGCGAAAATAAAAACACCCGAGGTCTATACTGGTGCGCCATTCGTCCTTTTCCCCTCAAGTTCCGGCAGACACGAACGTCACCTTCTACAGTAAGTTATACGTACTCTTCCTCTCCGCCGGTATGCCGCAACACTACGCCCCCAGGTCTTGGGGGGTTCGACAGCCATTCCCCGCCTAGCGCTTCCCAACACACCATCCTTCATCAGGTTATTACATGGTCGAGCGCTAGAAACTACCGCAGGTTATTTCCCCATGGCTACAAAAATCGCCTGTACGAGTACAGAGAAATACATACCAAGCAAATCTTGCAGCCCGGATAGCGTACTCGGAGTCGGAAGGAGTATGGCGACGTCTTGGCTGCCAGACGCAAAGATATTCCGTTCTTTCTGATGGGCTTTACGAAGCGATGACGTAACTTAAGCTCTAAAATAACTGGGAATGACGCTGCTGTATCATAGGACGTCCAGAATTTCCCTCTTTGGAATAAGGGGAGAAAGCATAGCGAAAAGATTCTCCTTTAGCCCAGACAAATAAAAAGGAAAATATAACGGACCTTACTGGGAGAGGCAACTCCGGCGTCCCTACGAGATCCCCAGTTCCTGCGGTAGCATCTCGAGCCCACCCACAACGTCTACTCGAGTATCATACTCGAGTACATACCCATACCCAAGAAAAACCTCTAAAGCTCGTGCACTACAGGCACCTCATACACATAATAGCATTTACAACCCTCCACGGTAGCATTAACACAACACCTAATTCAGTTACACAGGCGCCTTCTCGCCGGCTAGTGTACGAGTAGGCTCAACTTCCTCTGTATCCGCCTGTCTCCGCGGGGTCGGGGATTGGAACTGGGCCGGCCCTGAGAGCATGTACGAGTACTTTTATTACCCACCCGGATCTGTCGCGGAGGGGGGCTTGGTCAGTCGACTAAAAAGCAACCAAATTCCCCTCACTCTCAGAGATCTAGCCTCACCCACGATCAAGTCAACCGCTAAGAACATTATTTTGTCAATGATGCCTTTGATGTTTTAGGGAATGTCTGAGCGTACTCGAGTACTCGAGTACATTCTCCCCGGCACCAACCCATTCACACTCCTCCTCCTCATCCCCTCACGTGCCCGCCACCCACTTCCCCTGCAGCCTTAATATAATATACCAAAAATAGGAGCATACTCGAAACAGCATACCGTAACCTCCTCCCACCTCACAGCCAGCAGAGTATTCGAGTACGGAATACCTCTAACGGCAGCACCACCTGCTGACCTGAAAAAAAAAAAAAAAATTGGTGCCTGGGAACCGCAGGACTCTGGTATCGTGTCTGGGCCCACAGAACTCGCAATGAGAGGAGGATGATTACCCCCAGCGCCTGCTAAGCTCCCCAGAACCCGGCAGTCGATTATTCGAGCGATATTACATGATGATCATACAACGTTATCTTGGGTGTCCCAGAAAGAAAGAAGACTACCGTTACCGTACTCGAGATACCTTTAGTTAGGTGAAACGGGCGGCGCCCAGGCTAGGAAGAATGAAAATTAGGTTTTAGTGCCCGGTACCTTCGCGCTTTGTTTAGTACAATTGCAGGAGAAACGTTCCACACCGTCGCGAGGCACATTCTACTAGTGCTAACAAAATAAATATCATATTACTGTTATATAATATATATTATATCATCTCGAATAATAAATGAGAAACGTGAAAAGAGATCATATCAAGGTTTGAACATCATCATCAATCCCCTTACATACCAATAACTTCTTCACTCGACACCCGCGATCAACAAACATTAAACCCGTAGTGGGCCAAAAACGCAGTCAATAGCTTCGCTATCGCCATCCTCTTCCAGGATTCCCTCATCTTCTCCAAGTAGACCTTTTCCGGAGTCCTCTGTTCGGGCTACTTACGAGTACTCGAGTAAAAGGAAATCTCCAAGTTGGCCAAGGCGGACACCATTCCCTTAGGGGTATAAGCCCAGTGACCTATCTTCACGCAAGATATGATACTTCTTATATCATAATAATAAATGGAGAGAGCCCATGTAGTCATTACCCGCCTACATAGCCCCACTTTACCACCAACCAGCCTTCCACCTATAGCAACAAGGAGGGAAGGCACGTGGCCGAGGGAGGGGTAGGGCGAAATACGGTAGCAAAGTGTTTGGTTCCTAGACATTTCCTTCCAGACGAGCCGCAGGCACTATAAAGAATTATTGACACGGACTGGACAGCATCAAGAACTGCCGCATGAGCGAGTAAACCACGGGAAGGCTCTGTCATTACCCGATGATGATACGGCAGTAAACATTAAATCATAGTTTCATACACAAACCAAATCTCCGAAACGCAGAATAATTCGGAAAAAAGAAAAAAAAACTCCCCCGAACCCGAAAGAAACCCTCATCGACCTCGCAAACAACGCCATCCAATAACTATTGCCTACCGGTACGGTACGATGCACGCTCAAACGATTGCGATGCGCAAAAAAGAGCAAAAACAAAAACAAAGGACAGTCCAAATTTGACAAGCATTTCTACTTTTATGTGCGCCATTATTCTACCTCAAATATTCAAGATCCAGCCCACAAACATTCATTCTGACGCGCGCCCAGCGGTCGTACAATGCCTTCCAGACCATCGCGTCGTCAGGCATCTTTGGCCTGACTTTATCCGTGACCTCCTGTGGCCAGGTGAACCAGGGCAATGGTGCGCTCTCGTCCATGAAACTGGTGTAGTAACTCTCCTCACTGACTTTTACAGGGTCCCAGTCGTTTAGGGTGTATTTTCTGTGATCAGCTGCCCTGAATTCAAAGACGTTTGTTGCGTAGGGATGCTGTGGGAGTATCAAGCTATGGGAGGAGAAGAGGTCGTTTATGATAGATACGGAATCGCCTTCCGGGTTTTCTAAATGGGCCTTTTTGGCTTGATTGAACAAGCGGGTGGAAGGTGTTAGGAGAAAGACTTGGCCAGAGAGTGGGCCGAGTTGCTGAACCACTCGGGGGAGCCAGTAAGACCTTGTGCCAACGACTGGAGCGATGATGGTGCCGTAGAGGAGGTGGTCAAGGTTGCGTAGAGGAAGCCCTAGGGGCTCGAGGTAGAGGATCCGGTCATACCTGGTTTCCCCAAAGGCGTGGAGGAGGGAGGGACCTGTGTCACCTACTGTTTTTCATCAGCATGCAATTCCATTTACCTCTTTTCGCAGATATCATATGAAGAATGGGAGGGGAAACTCACGGGCCTCGCCATCCAAACCACCTATAGCTTTCACTTTAACCTTGAACCTCTTCTCCGCGGCCTCCAGTAGCCGACTCCATGTCCCCTCCTCAGTCCCGATCCAGCTCTTCGGATACAGTAGTATCTTGTCCGCCTCAGTCCCCAACCTCGCCAGCTCCGCCAGCACCATCAAACTGTGACACACATTTTCCTTCCTCTGCACGAACTGGAAATGTGCAGCTTTCAGGCTCTTTTTCGACCTCAGCACCGGGATATTATTAGCCTGATCAATTAATTGAAAAGGTGGTTTTGGCTTGTGCTTCGACGATGTCGCCGCATATGGAGTAGGTACCGGTTTTCTCATGGCTGCTTGAAGATTTGAGAGAGATTTCTGCTGGAGAATCCATCCTGAAATGAAGAGTAGAAAGGAAAAAAAGAATACTAACCGTGAAAAAGCCATTAGCTTCACCGCGAAAAAACATGGGGGCAAAAAATACAAGAACTTACTTATTGTTGCAGCAAGTCTCAGTGGCAGCCGGCCGACCATTTTTGTTTCTTCAAAGTAGCTCGCGAAAAGCTGCTGGGGCGGAAAAAAGAGATCAGATGCTTACAGTAGCGATACTTGAACCTGTCGTCGAGGCAGCTTGGTGGTAGTGGTGGGGGAGGAAGGTGTTGGTGTTTGTTTAGTGGCGTTGTCTAGCCAACGGCCGGATATTTGTTTTTCCGTGACACCCCGAAAGGTCCCCAGGGCAGGCCAATGGTTTACGACCAGTGTGAACATACTAAGGTTACTAGGGTCTGGGGAGGAGAAACCGGTCGGCTGGATTTTAATTCCGCCACCTCCAAGGGCAGAAATAAGGAACTGGACGAGAAAAACGTATCGTACCTGCATCACTCACGTCGTACTGACATGTTTGGGTCGAGGGTGAGAGATGTCTACGGGTATCCTCATCCATACTAGCACGTGCGCACTTGCTATACTCGAGTACAGTACATGTACCGGTACCAGTTCAAACAAACTTATTATCCTGGTATAATATCACCGAACCGGCATATAAACGCCAGCACGCATACCATACCCAATTCCATTGTACTGGGCTCTCGCTGTTGCTGAAGATCCAGGTAGTCGAGTACCGGTACCACAAGGCTGCCTGCCAATTCCAAAATTCTCACCTAGTGAAGAAGAAAAACCATCCTCCGCATGCGGTGCCGAGAAACCTATGAGTCGAGTTCCCCACGTTCCCATACGGCCCCGCGCCAGTACTATACCGCATCGCCAGCGATACCAGTAGTAACTACTCGAGTACTGACAGATTCCGGCCATTGTGGGGAAGATATTACGGTAGTCTACCGGTATGCAAGGGCAAACGGCGCTGGAGCAGAAGAAGGTTTGGCACCCATGCCACATGGCCTCTCTTTCAGCGCCCAATGCATACCGTATTGTTACCGTACGCTCTTTCTCGTTCAGGTGCGGGTATTTGGCACTTTCATCCACCGACAGGAACCAAGTCAAATCCCATGGGGAGTATGATAGCTTAAACTTAGAATCATAATCACATATTCACCGGCCCTATTACCCAATAGCCCGTATGATACTTCATGCTTTGGCGAAGCCACGGTTTGATGGCCCTTTGTGTCCCGGTGTTGACTACTTGTTCCTGTAAGTGACCAGCTTGACTGACCCCGATGCCTCAAACAAAAAGACACACTCATATATATGTACTATATCCAGAGCTTTTCTCCGTAAATAAAGCACCAGCTGTTCACACGATTGAAGTACTATAATAATTTTCACTTAAGGAGCCCGCCAAACAACTACCTCAAAGCGCCAAACAACTACCTCAAAGCCGGGTAACCTTGCTTCGCACGAGATCTGGACGCCACCTAAATTTATCAGTGAGGCTCTAAAAGTCTTCCCCTATTTTGTGAGCCTCCGTTTCCCGGAGCCTCAACAACTCCTTACCGTATCCACCTCCACTACCACCACACTTCCTCCATTCCTGACCACATCCATTCCCTTATTCTGCCATTTTTTGTTTGATTATTTCCCTTCTTTTCCCCCCCTTTCCTGTACCACGAGCCACGGCGTTGCTAGCCGAGTTCCTGGAATACTCCATTCGCCCGTAATGGGCGAAGACACACCCTTCGGTTTGTTGGCATCCAGCTTGCAGAATGCTTCTGCCGCCGTCGTTCTCTGCGGATTTCTGGGGTTCCTTGGGTTGGGGATTTTAGCTGTAAGATGATCTAATTTACTCCCCAGAGTAGCAGCGTAGTGTCTTATGGAGGCTAATTGGGCTCCTGGATACATATAGTCTTATATTCTCACCCTACTTGTCGCGCATACTCCCCGTCGCGAGACATCCTCAGAAAGAACTTACCGGACCATCACAAAGGACGGGAAAACCACATCAGCACTTCCCTTACCAGATACGTATTCGAGTGGGAAAGCAGAGGTTGCCCTCTCAGTAGTGGTTCCCGCTTATAATGAATCAGAACGATTGCCAGATATGCTGGCTGAAGCCGTGACCTTCCTCCATGACGAATACGGCCTGAATAAGGAGAAACCCAATGGAAACGCAAATAGTCGTGGTGCCACCACCGGTTGGGAAATCCTCGTCGTAGACGATGGCTCCACCGACTCCACTGCCGATGTCGCCCTCAACTGGGCCCGCTCGCGAATCCACCTTGGAGAGTTCACGGAAGGAGACATCCGAGTATGCGTGCTCGAGAAGAACCGTGGCAAAGGCGGCGCCGTAACCCATGGAATGCGACATGTTCGTGGAGAATATGCTGTTTTTGCGGACGCTGATGGGGCTAGTAAGTTCAGCGACGTAATGTCCCTGCGGCAAGAACTACGCTGCATAGAAGACGACGGTTTCGGCATTGCGGTTGGCAGTAGAGCTCACATGGTCACTACAGATGCCGTTGTAAAGGTAAACCCTCTCATCCCGCTCAATCGCGGTTAAAAGTAGAGAGCAACCCTCTAACCTTCAATCATCAGCGCTCATTCATCCGTAACTTTCTCATGCACTCATTCCATACGCTCCTCAAGACCTTCGGCATCAGACATATCCACGACACACAATGCGGATTCAAACTCTTCTCTAGAGCCGCGATCAAGAACATATTCCCATTCATGCACACCGAAGGTTGGATCTTCGATATCGAGATCTTGCTGCTGGCGGACTACCTGAGTGTTCCTGTGGTGGAGGTTCCGATCACGTGGCACGAAGTTACTGGGACAAAGATGCGGTTGGTTCAGGACTCCATCCGTATGGCCTGGGATTTGGGTGTTGTTAGGTTAGGGTATATTTGGGGGGTTTACAGAGTCGGTCCTGGGGGACCTTCAAAAAAGAGGCGTTAACTGGTGGGGAGTTTGGAATTGGGTGGGTGATTTGGTCCTATGTATACAGGTGTTTTTTTTTTTTCTTGTCAGATACCCGGTCGACCCCGGCTGGTGAAGCCGATATTTTGGCCTGAGCATAGAATGCCTGGATGTTATCTAGATTACCTTATTGAGGGTATCATATGCTAATATCAAGTGCTACACGAAATATCATACCGTCACTTGGTTACATTTTTTTCTTCTTCGGACATCTTGAAGCCCTAGCCTCCCAACACAGCCCAGTCTGTTGAGCAATACGAAACGTAGAGTATCAATTCGTTTTGACCAACCACCAAAATATATTATCGCCCTCCAACTATACTATGTACCACTCTAGCTATACTACCATAATATTTCAACACCCCTACATCAAGCCCCCCGGGGAACAGAGTAAAAAGTTTCATCCCCATTCTTCTTCCTATACTTAACCACCTCTGAATCCATAACCGGTCCCATGAACAACCAAACCACATTAATAATCCACGCAAACACTGTATCCCAGACCCAATTCCCCCTTGGGCTAGCTCCCCAACTCGCCGCCCTTAGTGTCTCTCCCATAAAACTACTAACAGCTAAAGCATGTCCCTTCTCCAGCCTCCTAACACACTGTCTCGCAACCTCGTCTGGCGACTGTCCTTCGTCGTTACCTTCGAGAATCTTGGTGATCTCTGGCTTTGTAAGCTGCTCTGTTTCGAAGCCGGGGGAGTAGATAGTGCCGGGAAAGCAGGCATGTACAGCGATGTTGTACAGGTGGCATTCCTGTCGGAGGCCGTCGGCAAGGGAGCGGATTGCGGCCTTTGAAGGGGTATAGGCGTTGTATCCGGCTAGTGGGTAGAAGGCCATCACGGAGGAGGTGAAGATTAGATGGCGTTTTGGAGACTGAGGTGGAAGAGGTGACTGGGTCATTATATTTAGGGCAGCCTGAGCAGGTTTTAGTCACCGTCCGGTCGATAGGGGGGGGAGTGGATGGAGGGGAACGGAGTGAATTACGTGCGCAGTCCAGAGAACAGATAGGTAGTTTGTTTGGACTTGCTTTTCAAGTAATTGTACATCCTGGTCTTTGAAGAAACCCGGGAATGCCTCTCCTACATACCGCGACTACATTAGTCTTCTCCTTTCGTTTCAAAGGAGCAGTATCATAGGATCAAACCTGCACAAGTCCAAACAATATCTGGTACACCGCCCCAAGTTCTAATCTCCTCCAAAGACCTCCTAGCCTCACCAGCACTCGTCAAATCTGCGCTCACGGCGATAAATATTTGCTCTTCTCTTGCTGCCAATGCCTAACACCTTATCAGCAATCCAGTCCATCAGGCAGAATTAAAAGAAAGGGGGGACGGCACCCGAATCTCACCAACAGCCCTATCCAATTTCTCCTTATTCCTCGCAATAATTGCTACATTTGCACCCTTCGAAGCTAGTAGCTTTGCGACGGACAATCCCATCCCCTGAGATCCTCCGGTTATCACAACGAGCTATATCACGTCTTCCGTTAGTTGAAGCTGCGCACCCAACAGGAGGAAAAGGGGAAGAAAATACACGGCCATCGACGGGTAGCTTGTTACTGCTGAATAGCGGCATGATGAACTGGTATATTATTGGGATTGCTGCTGGGATTGCTGCTGTTAAGGCGATGGCCGATGTTTGTGAGAGCGATGGCATTGTAGGTTGCGAAGGGGAATATGTATTGTTGACTTGTTCAGGAAAATTGATTAGTGTAGTGAGCGGATTTTTGGCTGGGATTAGTCCGTAGTAAGCTGAAGGGAACTCGTATAAAAGAGATTCATGAGGTAGGATTAAGGAGTTCGACTGACTACCGTACTCTGAGTCGAAAGCATAGAACCTTATCGTAGAAAAGAGGGTCTAATGATTGAAGTTCAAGCACAGTACCGTATTTTGTTCAATGTTATGATAGCTAATTATCGCCAGCGCCAAGTCACGTTATCATTGCAACGATTGCGAAATCGGTACCCTAACCCTGGGGCTCTAATGCATGGCGATTGCTGTATAGATAGGGTTTATCGTGGCCTTCTCCCTTTTAGTTATCCCTTTTAGTTCTTCCTCTCTTTCTTTCCTCCTTCCATCCTCCCTTTTCTTCCCCTTCCCCCCTCTGGCCCTCCACGGTCACCAACATTACCCTTCCCCCGCTGCGATTCACAATAGTACCACCACCATTACCGACTATGCCACTACCACCCATAGACACTATCCTTCAGCATTTCTCTACAAACCACTCACTCCATATCCGTCCAACGTACCTACAAACTCTGCTAACCTCTCTCTCCTCTCAACGTCAGATCCCTACCGGGCCTGCCCTCTTTGGCTGGCTCAAGTTCCGTATATTGTCCTCCGATATTACGGAGTCTTTGCAACCGTACGCAAACCTCTGTTTTCCGGTAAATATTACCGATGGGGATGTTCAGAGTACTGTCCTCCCTGGCCCTGTCGCAGTGCAGGTTGTGGGGATAGAAGATATCGGGATTTCCAAAATCAACCAAATTGATCGGATTGAGATGGGTGAGAGAGGTGAATTCATGAAGGGTAAAGAAGTCATAAGACTGGTCCCTGAAGAGGAAGGGGATGAGGGTGGGGAAGGTGGGCCTGTTGCTGGTAGGCCTAAGGTGGTTGTCGCAGGGACTGGCCCTCATAAACTGCTTATGGAGGACGCCGGGGGGAGGGGGGTTTATGGAATTGAGCTTCAGAGTGTGCAGGGGATTCAGGTCGATATGCCAATGGGGGCCAAGGTTCTTTCTATAAAATTCCTTTACCTTCATGGTTTAAAATCGTACTAACGGTTCTAGCAGATGGTCCTGAAAAACGTCACCGTCGCCAGAGGAATATTGCTCCTCACTCCCGCCAACACTTTAGTCCTTGGTGGGAAAGTTGAGGCACTCAACCAGCAATATTTAGCGAACAGAAAGCAAGTCCTAAACGCTGCTCTCGAAAAATTAAGATCACAATCATGATAAATCACTCATTAACAACCCCGTCGCTCCCCTTTCACAGACTATCACTCGCAACATCAACAATGGTGAAGGCTTAAATCATACCTTTCGCTAGCCCTGGGGTCCTCCCAACTACGACGACCGCGTTCTAGTGGTAAAAGAAGGCTAGGCTAGGCGGTGTCTCACGTCTTTCCCAAGAGCATCTTCATCATTGCCACTATGTAATATCTGGTCACCCCGTATGACGGAAGGGGAGGAATGAAACTGAGGAAGAAAAACTCGTGTGCCTCTCTACCCCAGTGCACACACGTAAGACATCCTCCTCTACTCGACTACAGTACGTACTCGAGCACTCGTAATTGCCTACTGTTTGTGAAAACAACCGGGTCTACATACGCTCACATAAACAAGATAGGCCAATGAGAGAGAAGTGGACCAGAAACCTATGAAATCCAAAAAAATATGACCTGGATGAGAGCGTTAGCAAGCCAAGGTTGTGCGGGGACATTGCAGTGCATAATTTATTGGGGGGATGACATAACCGAGCGGTGAGGGAAGGCACGAATCAGCCGTGGCGGTTCATCAGAATAAATGATAAATGGTGCCCTGAAGCATCCACCACTCGGAAGGGATACCATAACTTGCAGAGCGTTTTTGGCGCCCAGTTGGCTGCGGGCGTGAGTCTTGGCAGGTTACACGTCACTTCGCACATTCGATCTGGATTGCACAACCAGTTCAGGGTGTGGTATGGAATCTTCCTCAAACGTTGGACTTCTTCGCACCTTACACTTTTCTTCTAGCATCATGGTTGCACCGATTCGATACTCGTACATGCACGGTAGCAGGCAAGAAATACCTGAGCGCAGGGATTGGAAAAAATACCGTAGTGTATGGCTAATTTTCTGTGCGTATCTGAGCGCCCAGACAAGCACTACTCGAGTAAATTGATGTCTCGGGAACTTTTTGCCTGCAACCTGTACTCGAGTACCATTCACACAAATGTGTGGTTATGATTATCAGCGGTTTGTGCCGGTTGGAGTTGGCCAGTTATCTGAACCCTGATACCGGCTAGTATCACAGAATTCGCCGGACCCACGACGAAAACTGGGCGACCAACAGGGATTATTAGCGAGTATTCTTTTTTTTTTTTGTTACCCTACGAGTACTTTGGCCATTCACCCACCCAGTTTCGTTGTGGGTATGATACGGTGAAGACCGTAATCTGCGAACAGGTATCATACAAGTATACGGCATCATACTGTTATCCCCTCGTTATAGATTATTGCGACTCTAGAAGGTCAAGCTTGAGGAACGAGACAAAAGCTGGAAAAGAAAGTCCTTCCCGTCCTAGACATATCTCAGGCCATTGTAATGGCATCACGTCTGCTAAATTTAGTAGATCAAGGAATTACCACGGAAATTACCGCTAGCTCACAGAGCCCAACGATAAAAAATAGAAGGGCTCTTTGATAGCCGCACTGTACGAATACAATCCTCCGCTCGGCACCATAGAAAGCAAGGCTTCGATAAGAAGTGCAAGAGGCAGCATTCTCAGGTTCGAAGTTCATCATGCCTACCCTATCATATGCTCTGGTTGGGAGAACTACACTATGCTGTGCTATTCGGTGGTACAAGTACTACGACAGTGCCAATTGTGGGCGAAACAGGCAGCTTACTCACCCTACCGCGCCCCCTCACTCCTTTCGATTCGAGTTTTGAGGTTGGCTGTCGCGGCATGCTTCCTATGATCGGGCTGAGAGGCGTAGGATCGATATTGAGCCCAGAAACTTATAACAATAACCAATTTTTAGGTTGAAGGGTGGCCCCTTTGCGCACTGAGTACCGTAGTGGTCCTAGGTATAAACCATTGGGAATGCTCGGTTGATGTGAAGTTGGTTCGGTACTGGCATCCCAATGCCAATCACACAAAACAATTCGGTAATGTGACAGGGTATCTGGACGGGAGTGAGAAAGTGCTCGTAGCAGGCTCGTCAGACGGCCACAATGTGCATAGCGCAGTACTCGTACTGCACAATAACATGATAGGGTGTGAGTCTTGTATATGGGGCACCGCACTTCAATGGTATGTGTTTCTCTACCAGCGCGTACAGCGCGGGCGCGATCAACGGCAGATTGTCACTATCCGCAGTACTGTATATACGGAGAAATCCATCTCGGGCCGATGAAGCTCTACTTCGCCTATCCGTCATCCATACGTTCCTCCTTCTTTCTTTTCCAACCCCCTCCAGAAGGACTGCGGTGAAGCCTCATTGCCTGACACCAGGCAGCCAGCAAGTCCATGATCTAGGCAGCGCCAGTCAGCCAAACCCCACAAAATGCACCTTACCCCATGAGCAACTTAGCCGCAACCCCATCGAACCTAGCCATCCAGGACATAACTCAGATCACCTATCATAATATTATTATCTTCGGATACCCCAACGCATTCACAAGCACCTAAATGACAACACCCTCCCCCCAGTCGCCGCATCCACACAACCACCAAACCCGGATACTACCTTGGGGAAATCCCGGTAAAGGTCCCCCTGTCACGGAGACGCGGTGCGATACGATAAACCATCATCTCGATAAATCACTTCCAATCACTCGGACTTGTCTGTCGATATCAGCCTCGATTGTATCATACTCGTACTCGTATTATTTTTATTTATTTTCACCCAACCCACGCAACAAGCACCCGAAAACAGGGGGGAACCAAGACTTCCTATTCCAGGATAACTTTTACGAGGGCTGTAACATACTTTTTTTCTCGCCGAGGACGAAGTGTGCACCGTATTCGATCATGTATATCCACGTATGATAGCATAGGGTGCAGTACAAATTACAAATATAAGTAGGTTACAGTACGGTAGTTAGTACGCTGCGGAAATAAATGAATAAGGTAAGGTACCAAAGTAAGGTACAATACAGCACATATTATGTATCATACTCTAGGCCCAGCATCCCCCCCGCATGTGTGCGGGCGAAGCCCGATTCGACCGGGAGCGCCGGAACAATGAACGGGGTTTAACTTATCACCATGCCGAGCACATTTAATCACGTGATTAGGGGTGCGGCAACGAGGGTCGCCGTTGCAGGGTTTTTTGTCCTGGATTTTACACCTCACTATCATCGGGTTCGACACTCGATAACACCGATAACCCGGTGGGGGATTATTATGGCATGAGAATTCTTTTTTTTTTTTTTTTACTCGAGTACGAGTACAGTACAGGTACAGTACTATACTGGGTTTAGTTTTGCATTAATCACACATGTTTTTTTTTTTTGGCGACATATCCTCCCTCCTCTCCCATTCCCTTAAACTGCTACTGTACGGTATTGTAACTAATACTCAAAATATTCCCCATATTCCCCCCCCCTCCCCCCTGCCGGGTATGATATATGCACGCGGACAGCCAGGACCATGTTTTGTGTGGTGTATGATACGGTGGAATTGAAAAACTTACCGATACTGTAAAACCGTATAATACTGCAAAAAATTTTTGGGGAGGGGTGCTGAGGGTAATTACGAGTATGTACCGTATGATAGGAATTTGCACTGCATTGCATTGCAAAAAAAAAGATACCGGTATTCTAAGGGTGTAGTGTGTGTAAGGTAAGGTATGATATGCTGGTCGATGGGTGGGGGTGGGAAGAGCAAAAGTTCTGATTATTTATTATCGACCTTACTTTAATTTATGATAACTGCACCACAGCACCGTGTACAGTACCGGTAGTTACTGTACGGATTTCAACCGAAGAACATGTTCGGTCTGTCTGTCGGTCGGTCGGTCGGTCGGTGGGGGGCTTACTGTGCTTGTAGATTTGAATCATTTGAGATCCTGGAACGAACGGTAACGGTAAGCTTTCTTCCGGTATGGGAGGAGAGGTTTACCTGGGTTCATTGGTGGGGGCCGTGGGAAGGGAGGAATGGGCTGGGTTCTTTCTCTCATGTTCTGTGAAACCCGTACTGTAATTGGGATTTGTATGCTTGGAGTTAATTATGCGTTGCAAGTGAGTTTGCCTGTCGGGTTTGGTAATGGCATGTAATTGGATGTTTGATGATAAACAATTAATGCAATTAGATAATCTTTTCTACATACTCGCCCTCTCGTCCGCCATTAGCTTCCCGCATAATACATCCTCCTCATGCAGTAATTCTGCTCTGCCCTGCCATTCCCCATCCTATAAAGTTTTTCAGGAAGATAAAGAGATGCAAAAGAAACTAATATCAGAAGAAGAAAAGCAGAAAGAGAAAAGGTGGCATAAGGGAGTTATTAGTTCAATGCAATAAGGTAGAAAGAAATAGAAAATAAAAAAGTAATAAATATATGCCCCCGAACCATTTTTTTCATCTTATCATAATCATCATATAAAAAAATGCATCAGTCATGACCCTCATGGGCCTTCCCAATCGATAGATAGCCGGCAAACAATTGTTCACGGATAAACATGTGATTCTATTTCCTGCCGGCACTTTCGCGGGCAGCCTCTTCCAACCTCCTTCTTCGGAATTCCAATTGCTCTGGAAAGTTCCCGCTTAGCGGTGAAGTAGGAGCAGTATCGGGACCCGAGGAGGCGCAAGTGCTTTTCCCACCGCTACGGGACGCAACACTGTACGCCTGATTGTTTTCCGCATCGGTGGAATTTACCTAAGCAGGAATTGCCAGAGTCAGTAAAACAGCAGTGGCGAGAGAGCAGCTAAATGCTTTTTTTCTCTTTTCACATGTCAAATATTCTTTGCGCGTACCCAAGAGAAGACATCCTTTGCGACGAGGCCTCTAATCAGCTCCCTCTCCATCCTCTCATCGTCATCATCATCATCGACATCCATGGCGTCCTGATCCCATTCAGCAGTGCCCCCCGTCCCTCGTGATTGTTGCGGGTCCCACTGGGGCGGTGGAGGCAGGGGCGGCGCAGATCCGGGGACCACCCACAAGACACCGCCCGATCGCTGCCTCTCGCGGTTTGGCGAATACGATGCCATTCCTAGCGCGGCGGAGGCAGCGGATAGCGAGACTGACAGATCCGCATTGTGAGGTATCAGCGCGGGGCGACGACCGCGGCTCGTGAGTGATTGTGGGGGAGGTGAGGTGGGTGTTTGGGACACGGCGGCCATTGATGAAAGTGATGAGGGCGGTTAGAGATTCGAAGGAGGGTGTGTGTGCGCCTAGCAGGAGATTGAAGTAAGGGAAGTGCAGGGGGATGGATTAGGTGGCTCTCAAAAGTCTGTATCGTAGATGGAGGTTGGTAGTGAGGGGGAACCGACAGTTGCTGGCTGTCGTGGTTGGTCAATTTGTGATGCAAGGAACAAGAGAGGTGGGCAAAAGTGAGATGAGAACAGGGATTTGAAAGCTGAAAAGAGGGGGACTTGCAATATTGAAAGCCTTCCCTCTCGTTACTTGATAGAGGGGTTAATTGGGGATGGTTTGTATCGTGATCTCGCGGTATGGAGGAATTTTACAAAAAATGCGGAGGGTAAAGGGTAAAAACAACAAACAAGAGCAAACGAGAAGCAGACAAAAAGTCCTCCGTTCCCCCAACAACAGGGTCCAAAACAAATCTCCAAAGGTGGACGTGTCAAAATCGCGTCAGAAAAACAATCAGTGAGTATCAGTTAAGCTGTAAAATTTATTATATGTAATCATCCAGGCGTGCTCGAACCGAAATTCAATTTCTTTCTGGCAGGCGTTACTCGTAGGCGCCAGGGGCAGCCTGGGGACCGTGTACAGTACTGTACTCTCGAGTACGCTTGGTGCCTTGAAAATAGCATAATATTATCATACGCTAAATTCTCCATTGTTTCAAACACTTAGGGTTCAGGACAAGTCTCCAAAGGCATCTACCGGTATCATGATCCATGGGAGGCATTCTCCTGCCCAATTGGCTCCGCCCCAGATCCGCAAGGACGTCACTATTCGTACTCTGATGGGTCCTTTCCATCCTTGCGCGAGTGATAAGGGCGATGCAATGAAACACCCTCATAAGTTCTGCTCCCTGAAACGCTCCATAATTCCATCTTGGAGCCATCGTACTAGGCCAAGAAGCATATGAGTGGAGTATCGCTAAGCAAGAAGCTAAATCAGAGGGTGCGCTATGGCGGGGGGGGAGAGGAATGCCTACGGAGGTACAAGTATGATAGCTACAGCGCCTAAGTTTTGTATATTACACTAGGAGTGGGTGCTGAGTGAGCCTCTCTAGTGTAACATACAAAACTTATGAGCTGTACCGGTACTCGTACTTCCGTAAGTAACTTTGCTGAACACCTCTTAAATAAACCCTAGAAACCATGTCTCGAGAGCTAGGATTGTTCCTTTCATCGGGTGATATCTCTCTGGCGTTCCCCCTAGGCACACGCTTTTTGGTTGTTGTTTCATGAGTCCTCAAGTCAGCTTTTGGCTTGCTGGTACTCGAACACGGGGGAGATGTGCCAGGACGTTGTAATTTCCTCTCAGAACGAGAACCTTTTTTTCGTCTCAACCAAGGGCTTAGTTTCTGGTAATTTCTCTACAAGTACGGTACCTTTTTGTGGCTTCTGTGACAAATGGTGGCGGTTTTGAGGTTTTGATGACCCCCATACCGGCGAGTTGCTCATGGTGTGAACAGGGGTGATGAACCGACCTTTATTTTCTCTACTGTAATTGTGCTCCAGCAGTTGTAACACATTTCTCTTGGGCTCGAGGCTGAGAAATCGTGTTCTATACTTTTCTTCTGGGTTGGAGGTTGTCACATTTCTTTCGCGCAGTGCATTTGTCAAATTCCCCAGTCAAAAAAACAGAGATACCATTAAGGAGAAGATCCCCGCGACGCCGTTCAAACCGAGCTCCTTACTTTTGAGCCTAGAGATTGCTCGAGCGGGACTTCGGAAGCTCAGGAGGAATTGATGCCCTCAGACGTATTGAAAATCCACAATTTCTTCCCCTGCGAGGTGTGAGGTTCTCAATCAAGCAAGGCGGAACCGCTAAGACCGTACGGTACTCGGACCTCTATGCAGGAGGCATTGGCCCTCGAGCTATTGAGAATCCTCAACGCCAACTTGCAGAGAGCCTTGGTTATGATGTCACGAGTGAGTCCGCTGCTCCCTCGGTTCCTGGGTCGCGGGCAGTCTGGAAATTCTCGATTCTTAGAATACGTGAATGCTAGTGTCTGGATGTTTTGTGCGGTATAGTATGAATAGATGTTTCTTCACTTGCACTCGAGCAGTCGAGAAAGCTCGTGCATATTTCATTGAGGTGTTACACTATCCTATTATATAGCAACACGATACTTGGCGCACATGTCATACTTAGCACGGGGTTGTGCATTAATCTATAACTGCCAACACGATACGAGTATCGGGAAGAAGCTTCGGTGGGAGAGCTGATATGGTTTCAGAGATACGTATGCATAAAAAGGCCTTGTAGGCTGTAGCAAGTGCCGAAGGTTTTGTATGTCCGAAATCTGGTCGGAAACCCATCGGGGTAGCAATGCTACGATACTCGGTAGTTGTACACATTATATTTGTTCGCCTGATTGTTGTATGGTCTCTCTGCTCCTCTCCTTTGTCTTCACTAACTTTCGATATACCAGAACTGCATATACCAGTGATCGGCTTGACCGATGCGTATGGCCGGGCCTGGTCCAACATAAAATCATGATCCTTCGAGAAGAAGAGGAACATGATTTCCCCCACTATCGAAGAGGGGAAGCCGAGCCTTATTTCCATCCACCCATCTATCGAGGACTTGGAGAAAAAAGGACGATTCTGCGCAATTGGATTATGCAAGGTCTCCGACTGGAAGGGTTTTCTCAAACCTACTGTACTCGTATATTTTCGTTGAACCCCCAGAAATCACATGGCCGTAAATCATACAATAGATCCGTTTGGATATCCCTTTGCAAGGTTAACAGGATCATGGACGCACTTACGATGACGCGTGCCGGTATGAAAGCCATCTCCTCGCTCATTGTTCATTCCACCATACCATGCCCCGAGGACTTCGCACATCCTCCTCCCTTGTATGAAGTCATGGAATTCTGAATGACTGAGAGAGCCTACCATGCAGTCCATAATACGTCATTCCATGGACATACTGGTATTTGCTCTCTCTTCTGCCGCCCGATCAGTCAGTACCGCGTTCATCCAGCAGTTTCTTGCTACCTTAGACCTTCCTAAACGCATCAAACAGCGATATCCCGACCTACCGTGTATACCTATAGCAGGACATACCACCAGCGTCTGTATATGCCTTATTATCCGAAAACGGGCTAACAGGCTACACAGACGCTAGTTTCCCATAATGCAGATACAACTCTTGCATCACGCGAAGGCCATCAGTTACCCCGACACCACCTTTCGCGATGTGTTGATATCGGATGACGGTTTCTTAGGTTGTGCCAATTGTTTTCGGGGTTTAGGGCAGAGTCTGGGGGTTCTAGACACTTGCACGTGGCGTTGCATACGCCCTAGTTTCAAGATGGTAAGAGTACTTGTAGGTAACAAACAGGGATTAGTATCATAATAGGTATTCTTTTGGTATCATACCTTACCCTGACGAGGCCACTTTTGCCTGCCTGCCAAATACCCCTGTTTGCTGTTTGTTGCCTGCCGGATCCTTGTACTGTACATCTTATGATACCTGTACTGACGAAACCCAGCCCTATACTTTCCAGCACAAAGATTGCGCTCTTGTTGTTTGGTTGGTTTAGGCGCTTTATCGAGTGATGGTATCTGCGTGTTTGGAAATTGTGTTGCTCTAGAACTATCAGGGATTGACCACCTCAACTGTGCCTGAAGCCTTTGGGGAATTCGGTAGTTTGTTGCTAATCGTGGATCTGTGGTCTCCGGCCGGGATGGTGAAGGCAGAGGGAATGTAAGAGTTGTTCTTCCGCGGTTGATAGGAGATACTCGTCAGTCTCAATTAGTCATAACCAGGGGTTATACGTGGGTTTTCTCACTTTGTAGTATTTGTGTCTTTCTAGGTCGTAGCCCACCTGTGTGTGGGAGGGGGTGCATTGTGACTAGGTGTGATATTACCAGACTGTAGTTGTTTGTGCTGTACCATTGTGTACCGGTACTTGTATCTGGCGTAAAGTATCTAGATAATGCGACAGGGCTTTTTTTTTTCATCTCACTGGTTGGGTGGCTGTGTAGCAGTGGCCGCATTCTTAGGTACTTGTTGCCGGATACTGGCACGAGCACTGAATGGTGGTGAAGCATGGACCTCGCCGACGGATTCTCCATTCGATTATCCTTGTGCCATATGCGTCCCATACCGGTGTCCTTCCCTTGCATAATTTTGCTGCGTGCTCGAATAGTAGGTTCGAGTCTTCGTGCTTGTCGAGGACTTCCAATCCACAACGTTCCTTTACCGTTCTAAGGTCAGCGCTCAATACGCACCGCACAGCTTCAAAGAACATTCCATTAACGATCATTGACCCCACTTCCGGCCACCAACACTTATAATCGCCACGCCCGGCAGCTGGCTGCGGATACTGCCGCTCCTACTAGCCAGCAATATCCCTCATCACGCGCATCCTAGGCATCAGGGAGAGCTGGTGTCTTAATGTCCGGTCTTGAGTAACATCGTGAGATCGAGAAGCTCCGTGGATGACCCGAGAGCCCTCGTCACGCGGAGAAAACTTAGATATTTGCCTATCAGTCTGCATGTTTGTCGGAACCCCCCCTCCCTGGGATCTCGTGGTCAGTTTTCTTTCTTTCTCTGCTTTGCTTTTCTCCGAAGAGGAAGGCAGTGGATAAAGGAAAGTTGCAACAAAGATACTGTAATCGATTCTCATAACACCCTTGCAAAGACAACCTGCGACCCATTTTGAAGCGTCAGGAGGGGGAAACCTGATCCCTACCTTCCAGCCATGCATAATCCATGAACCTCACCAGCAAGCATAATCCGAAAAGATCTGTCGCCCAATGCCCGAGATCTTAGGGTCGTCTCGGGCCTTCTTAGCTAAGTTAACACCGAGATATGACAATTTCCCAAAGCGGAGTCTGATCAAAAAAGGGTAATCCCACCTCAGCTGCCAAGGCTAGGTGTTGGGGATTCCCCCTTCAGTCGAACCATCCGAATAAGGTTTAGCTTGGTGGTGAACCCTTCGTAAGACATCGAATGTGCGAAGTCGGTCGCGGTATATGCGGTCTTGATTGCAGAAAAGGGGATGGCTTGCTTCCAAGTATTTATACCGTAATAGTAAAAAAAATTTCCTTGAAACGCCCTCAGCGAATCCATCCTTGTCAATCTTCTAAACCACATCTGCATGGCAAAACTTTTTGTGCCCAAGTACACTTGTACTGCACAGCACAATGTGTGATACTTCCTTGTTTCCAAATATTCTAAATCCAACATTTTTTTTTTCTTTCTACCTTGCTTGCTTTCTTAGCCTAAGCTACCGTGATGGGGACGTACTAGTAGAAGGGAAGAAAGGGGTTCCCAGTCCGCAGGAATCATTCTCGGACCTCTTTCATATAAGTGAGGCACGGTGGATAGTGAAATGTCCTTGTACGAGTACTTGTACACTGTACCCGGCGCTGTGCTGCTAGCGAGCACGGATAGTATTGACTTTTGAGGACGAAAGTACGGACTGCTCGGAACTTTTGGGTAAGGAGGACTGAACCGCGCATTAGCTGATACTGAACACATTGGGAGGATTCACCTCATGCTCAATGAGAGCGCGGTTTGGTGGCGGCCCGGGCTCTGAACTGTATAACCCCCTGCATCAATTCAGCCTTCGAGTTCGTTCAGGTTTGATGAATGAGGTGAGGGAAGGCACACATGGTCAGCGCAAAGAGTGTGAAGAGAAGGAGAGAGAGACACTCCGTCATACCGGGTCAATTGCCCTGCTGCACACTACTGTACATCGTCGACCTTCTCCAGCACCAAGGCTCCCCAGTTGCAATGGAAGCGAAAACGAATGGATCTAAGGATCCAAGAATCATTTACACTCGTCCTTAAAAAGAAGAATTAAAAAAAAAAAAAAAAAAAAAAAAAGTCTCCGGGAGGGGGAAAGCACTAATATTCAGAACTCCTTCATAGCACGCTAGCTAGCTACGATACTCACACGAAGCTCCTGGCGCCCCTGGAAGCAGCCAGTGTAACACCTATGCACACAAAAAATAATGCGGTCCAAATCTCACCCCGTAAAATTTCCTTACTGTACGAGTACTCGAGTACCGTACAAGTCAAGTTACGGCTAACTTACAGTACTGTACTACTCAGTGACCCCCACCCCACTCCTTCCGGCCCGCTTAACCAGCCAAACGCGGCGTTCGGGTCGCTCCTTTCTCGCCTAGTAGGGTAAGGACGATGATTATCATACCGGTATCAGATTCTCCCTTCAGCCTAGCCAAGCGACAAACCCAGCGCATAGGGCCCAAGCTCCCGGGGCGCCAGCACTCCTTGTTCATGGAAAGGACAGTTGTGGGGTAGAGAGCATGCCACGCCGTAATATATTTATTAGGCTACCAACCGGAGACACCCGAGGGCCGGTACGAGTACTGTAAAACCCGGTATGACTTGCGGTTTCTGGAAGCCAGTTCGCGTACTTTGGTGATTCCGGCGTAATCCCGCCGAATCCCTCTCCCCATTGGGTGGCATCCTTCGAGCCCTCTCTCATCTCTTAGCCATATGGGAGCGAATTGGTGATCTACAGCTTATCCCCAGCAATTGGAGTCTGGGTAATCTCTTCCATCATGTTCAAGCACGTCCACGATAAACGGTGGTTCGGCCGAGTGAGAATCTGTGAGAATCTTTGAGAATCTGTGAGCGCGAAACCGTTTCTGTGTTCTCGAGTACGGTATGGATACAAAAAAAGATGGCTCATCGAAAAACATGCGCAATGGATTCGCAGCCGCACACTTGGAAATCGTTCTAGGCACCGTGGGGAAGGCGAGTTGCTCGGGTACCAACGAATCAAAACAGCTTTCACCCATAATAATATGCACTGACATCACACAATTCACACAGCCAACTCTCCCCCCGCCGCCAACAAACGCTAAATACCGTGGATCGACGGGAAAAAAAAGAAAAGAAGGAAAGAAAAAAGAAAAAAAGCACGATTAATTAATCACTTGTACAAGTAGATAAATTAAGAAGGCATAAAATGAAATTGATACATGGAAAAGACGCAAAATAAGGTCAAAACGCTCATATCGTAAATTCCGCTGTAGAGGTCGCCCTAACAGCAATTCTTACGATAGCGTTGGATGCGGGATTATGCGTGATGTGGTTGCATAGGGAGCACTGCGCAGGGCCATTTGAGGGAGAAAAAAAAACAGGAATTGTCGATGATGCGCAATGCCTTGTCCTCCTTCGACCGCTGGGTTTCGATTGAAAGAATTGTCCCCGATGGGTCTCATTCAGTTATGTGGGATCTGGTGGAAAAATCTCCTGGAAAAACCATTCACTTCCTGCCTAATGCTATATCTTGGATACGAGTAACTTCTACGCAAAATTAGGCCCAAGCTATGAATTTTTTTTCTTTTTTTCTCGATCAGTGCCCGATGTTTAAGTTACATCTGGGTGTTCACAACATGGGTGATACACTTTCCTTATGCGTTCCCCTCTTATTACTTCCTCGCACCTACAGTATATGCGGATGGGATATTGGTCTTTTGGTCAATCTGATAAGGCTGTATTTACTACAGTAAGCTATGTGTTAGATGCGGACTACGGAGAACAGTGTATGCACCGCAGGAGCTGCCCGGAGGGGGCGGCAGATCCATTATTGAGGTTCGATCTAATTATCCTTTTGCCTACCTGCCATACCGGGTGACCTAGCGCGCGCTTTTTACGTAGGTGCTTCGCCGGATAACAGGCTCGAAGTGCTCTGAGAATTCACTTCAACATCCCTCTCTTTTTTTTTTTTTTTTTTCGTGATCCGGCCTATTCCTATGGGTTACAGGCCTCCGGAATTTGTCAATTGTCAGACTGTTTGGCGCGGGGTTGAATGGACGGCGACTTATAACTTGCTCTCTTGATGAGGAGGAGGAGCAGGCTCCGAAAATTTTTTTTTTGAGGGCTATCATACCCGTAAGAATTCGACATTATTGGATCAATTGGGGGTAAGCAATTGAGAATTGTGGTATGGGTGGGAAGGATGATGAGGGGTTCCCAAAGCGAGGGAGAGAAAAAGGAAAACTTAGTGCTAGGTGGAGGTTGAAACATATTCTATGATATTGAGGGGTCGTAAATTTCCTCGTGCCTTGGCCCAAAAAGGGAGCTCTTCATTTTCACAGCTGATCAGCCTTGCTGAGGGGTGCGCAAACTGGTAAAGAGATCAAGATGAAATCACTCAGTTGTTTTCATCCAATATTCAGAGGAGCTTGGGCTGAAGATGCCCCGCAGCGGCTAATGGAAGTTTAGGCGATTAGTTAAGTTAAAATGCTCAAAGCAAAAAAGGCTGGCTAACTCATGGTGGGTGCGCACAATTGAACGGCGCATCGTAATTGCCTATGTACTCTATGATAGCCCATACCACCTCTAACCTGAGTTGGTTATGTTATCAAATGTAGTTTAACCATCACATTGAAAACTGACGGGTGACGGGGCGGGGGGGGGGGTATATTTGGCAGGCAAAAAACAAAAAAGTGAATTCGTCCAGGGGTAACAAAAAGAGATGGTAACTTGTTATATCATGTTGATCCCTGTTTTCCCCCTCAATTTTCGTGGTGCCCTGTTGCTGCGGACTTTGCGTTGGAGTTGGTCGATGGGAAAAGACATCTAAGTTACCGTACTGTAGATCCTTTGATTCCAACTCCCCCAATCTGAGTCTTTTGCCCCTGGGACCTCTACCGGTATGGTGAATTGGCCTACCGAAGGGGTTCCGGTGGGTACGAATCGGGGGAATGAAAAACCCTTTTTTCAGCTCGAAAATTTTGACCGGCCCGGACACGTACTACGAGTACAAGTAGAGTGTGTGTGACGCTTGGGTGCCGGTATATCGACATTATTCCCCTTACGGGAGACTCCCCCACGCCTACTGAGCTGTTGATGACAACTCTAGAGTTTATCCCCCATTGATCGAGCACAGAGTCATGTTTCCTTCACTTGTGGCAAAAGCCAGAGAAGCTGTGGTGGTGGTGGTGGTGGTGGTTAGCTTGTTGGTTTGTTTTCATTAGCCATGTTCTAGGGAAGTAAGATGGCATTGTAACGTTGGTTGTCTTAAAGAAATTGCTGGCAAGAGCGAACGAAAATGATCTACGGTGGGGGGGTGCCTGTCCAATGCCAATGTGTCCGGACATTTCGTGGACAACTACTCGTAAATTATAGCGCCGACGGAGATATCGAGGCGCACTTTTGCCTTGGTGGACGCTGACTCATCCATTCAGATTGTCTCGCAACCCTACCGGTACTTGTACGAGTACAAGTACCTGTACAATACTCTGGCAACACACACCGGCATCCTATTGGGTGCCGAGTAAGTTAATACCACCAGTACGAGTACTACTCGAGCATCGGTAGTACAGTAGATGGTCTTCATGCGCTTTTTTGGATCGGGATCATTTTCGCTGGTGAACTGTATACCGATA